TTACTAAATAGATAAGAAATCACAATGTAGCCTTAAAAATACTACTTGGTAGTGACCCTTTGCACGTGACATCACGCCACTCATGTGACCGTCTCCTTCGCCATGATGGACAGCAAAAAGACCGTTGACAACCATTGGAACTCCAGTGAAGCTAGTCAAAACAAGCCAGTTTTGTAGGCTTTTATCGCTTTTATTTAGTTGATTTGACAGTAAAATGGTTTTAGCTTGCTGCGTGGTCGGCTGCACTAACAGACAAGGATGTAAACTCAACTCGTTTTGATTTTTTAATAACTTTGATGGAGACTGAGGACGGAGATGAACTGCAGCGATCAATCAAGCGGACTAGCAGGTCTCAGATTTGCAGTGAACATGTTTTTACCGAGTAAGATTAACGTTCATTTATTTTACGAGGAAGACAGGGACAGGGATAAATATGATGTGTTTATACTAGTTATTGATAATCCTGATGGATGGGTATTACACCACGGAGGCTGCGCGCCGTCCACTGTAGTGTAAAGCGAGACAATTATTAACAATATTAAAGCTCCGATGTATGATTACATGTGTTAAAATTACGTTATTTATTATATGAGCATCACCGTTCAGAAAGCTTCTCATTCCGGTGTGAGAGCAGCAGCTGAACCCGGTAACACCGCCAGCATCAGAAGCTGGTAGGGATCCGGACTTTAAACAATCAGCTTTGGTGTAAAGTGAAACGCTGTTTATAACATAATTGTTATAAATCCAGAGGGGTGAATTTAGGCAAAGTCAGCCACATGTTTACATCGGTGAACAGCTGCAGAGAGAATGTAAGCTAACGTTGGTAAGCTAGTTAGCATACCGCTCTCTCTGAGCCCCCGCTAGATGCGCTACTTCTTCTGATAAGTGAACTGGGCATGAACTAGTTGAAGGAATGCTGCCTGGAGGAGTTTTGTTTTTGTTTTGATCGCAAAAACAATTTCAGGCTCTACTTTTCCCTTTGTTTAGTACTCCTGTCGCTCACTGTTTACATGCTTTTGCCGTCCACCATGGTGGACCCACGTGATTAGGTGACGTCGGTGCAAAGGGTCAATGTGTGTGTGTGTGTGTGTGTGTGTGTGTGTGTGTGTGTGTGTGTGTGTGCGTGCTCTGCCTTCTCGATCCCAGTGAGTCGTTGGGCATCGAGAATCGAGCATCGATTGGAACCGGTTCCGACTGTTCATTTTTCCCGGAATGCTCAACGTTTTTTTAATTTCGATTCTTAGTGTGCCGACGGAAGAGGAATCCGCGGCCGATCTCCGTGAAAAATAAAGGTGATCTGCGAATTGTGATCAACGCTTTTCAGAGCTGATCACACCAGCTGTCTATGTGCAGCATGAGACTTGTGGTGGATGGCTGCTTATACTGAAACAGGATCATCTGGAAGTTTCTTCCTGTTAAAAGGCAGTTTTCCTCTCCACTGTCGCTGCATGCTTGCTTTATGAGGATTGATGTAAAGACTCTGACACTAGTCAGTGACTCGATGCAATCTGCTGGGTTCCTTATGTAGCAGGATGAAATAAGCCTGCTCCAAATTATGTGGGTTGGCGCATACTGGCTTCCATACTCATGGGGGCGCTGTGAGTATAAAAGGGAGCTCTGCTCACTGTTGGAGCATCAACTGGACCCTTCAGAATACGCATGATGACGGCTTACAGCCAGAGATGGAGAAGCAGCAAGCTAGCAGTAGCAACACATGCTAACTCTAGAGATTGACTGGTCGTGTATTTATGTCTATATAAACTTTATTGGGTCCGCTTGTGTCTTGTTTGAAAATATACCAACGTTTTTTTTTTACAAACTAGAGATATTTTCTGGCCCACAAGTGAAATGAACAATAATTCTCTGAATAAGACGCCTAAGAAACCACATCTGTCACCAAACCTTACCAGCCTGACCCAAATATTTCTAAATATCTGCTGGATAAAAATAAAAGACTAACAGAAACTTTCCCACATTCTACCTCTGCCCAAAAATTTAAATAATGGCAAAAAGAGAAATTAACAGATTTAAAACAACGTAAACAAACAAAACCACATCTTAACATTAAACTATTTAAAACCAACTCTGTTGTCCTGGAAACACCAGTCAGACCCCCTGAGGAGAAGGAGGCCTCTGTCTCATTCAGCTTAAACATAATAATATCACTCAGGCTAGCATCTGAACCCGTTATTAAACAGCGTTAGTGTTTGTGTTTGTGACAGAAAACGCGTTAGATTAAAGGGCTTAATTCATCAGCGGAGGGAAAGAGGAGTACTCTTTAGTTTTAGAGTCACAGAGGGTCAAGCAAAGCTCAGGGGGCTGGGTGAGCATCCCTAGTATCCTGGGTTACCATGGCGACATGGCCAGACCACTCCAAACAGTGTTCTGTTTCTAAAATGTCACCCTGATGTGTCGCTGTAGGAGCTCCGGGTGGATCAGGGGGACAGACGGAGAATTCTGTCCACTAAAGGGGGCACCGCACCAGGCTGCAGCATGGGGAGGGCACCGGGGCCACAAACTGATACCTGTCTGATGACATCATCTGACCCCAAAATACCATATCCAAGAACAGATGATTTACTACATATACAGCAAAATGCTTTACTACATTCAATCAATCATTAGGTTTGTCTTTAATACAAAACCGGTGGGAAAATACACCAGGATAACCCAATTACGTTGCCAGAGTGAAATGCATTAATCTTATAGGAGGAGCAGATTTCAGCACGATTAATCCTGAAAAGGTCAGAAGTGTCAGTGAAATAACGGGTTTACGTGTTAATTATGTGTTAGCAGTAAACTAGAGGAGGCTGAATTTATCCAAAACACCTGACAGGTTAAGAAAGCTCTGGATTTAAGGAGAGAAAATAAAATCTACCTGACAGGAGTTTACAGAAACACCCAGAGAAGGTTTAAAAACTCTGTTTAGGCTGTAATTTATTAGTCTGAACCAGGATAAATTTATCCTTCACGCTGTTTATATGATTCTCTACTTGTTATTTTTCAGTCACGTGATTCCCACCATAGGGATTTCTTACAGCCTTAGTCCACCATAAGCTTATGAACAATTATTTAATGTGATACTACAGTTTAATATACCAATGATGTTCTATCAGTTATATAATTATAAAAACATGCTAATAACCTCTAATGCTACTATAAAAACAATAGTGCAGATTTATTACGTGAGATTAAGATAAAAGATTTAAACAGTATAAATACATAAAACTGCTCAGGGTGAGAAAACGCACTTTTCTGAAAACTAAAACACAGGAAAATTTAGATACATTAATTACAAAATGTTTTCAAAAAATGATGAAAACCCCTGCTATAATCCACGCTACAGCTGAAAATGAACCGTTTAAAAGTAATAAATAGTATTTTTACAAGTTTTACAGCAATAATGACATAATTAAATAATACATTTTAAAAAAACACGTACCGTAGATGACGTTTCCTGCGACCTTCCTGGTTAAAAGGCGGTTAAAAACATCTAAAATGAGCCAAAATACGATTAATGCTCCAGCTTCCTTACGGTCCCGCTGCTCTGCATCCAAAAGCAGCGCGTGCTGAGAAGCAGTCCAACGTACTGACGCTGATTGACGGCGCGTGCGGGAGAAAACAGGGAGAGGCGGGAATGTCCCGCTCTGCGCATGCGCGCTGCTGTCAGCGCCCCTACTCGCCCGTTAGGTGTGTGTGCAGCAGAGATAACCCCAAATCAGCTGTAAACAAACAAACTAACGAGCTAAACCTAAACCGGCTCATGTCAACCAGCTAACCACGAACTTCACAAGAACCAAAACCCGGAAAAGGAGGATTTTTCTCCATTAAACTGGATGTTTTGCTTCTGATTATTGACAAAAACTCGAACAAACATGATAAACTCAGATAAGCCCAGTAAATAAATACCAGTAAATCGGTTATTTTTTGGCCCCTTGAAGCTTTGTTTTAGTTGCATTTTAAGGACTGTTGACTCACAGGAATCCCCTTAAACCCCGGGACCTATCAGGCTGTTAGAGTAAAAAAACATCTCCATTGTTACATAAGCACGAATTCTTAAATAGTTAAAAATTCATCCTTTCGGGCTTTAAAGTCTTTACTTGGAGAGAGGGGAGGTACCTGTAATCTCAGGCCTTAGGTCAGGTGCATCTTCACACCTGTGCAGGCTTCCAGTCACCAGCCAATCACATGAACAAGCCTTTTATTAAAGACAGTAAATGAAATAGTATTTAATAAAAACATGAACCAGGGTGCCCGTCATATAACAGTTTGCTAAGCCCTAGGCCCATTTTGAAGCCTATTCCTCGAAAAATGGTAAAAATGTTTTAGATAGCCTTGTAGTGCTAGGTTTGCTGATTAATTTGATAGGAATTATTACTATTTCTTCTGTAGTGTGAGGGCTGTTTTGGGCCTGTTAAGGAACTAACGTCACAGGGTCCCCCACCTGGGGATCCCTAGGGCTGAAGGGGTTAAAAGTGTATTAACAAGCTGCTGCACCCTTTCAAAATAAAATCCTGCCATGTCATTTTGAGGAGAAATGAGACCAACTCCAGATGTTCAAACCTGAAAGACCGTGTTTATTTTACTGTTAGAATGTATTTGTAAGTGTTTTTAAAAAACAATAAATCTTGAAAGGAAATTAGTTTAGGAACATGAAGTTACAGAAATCAGAGTCAAAGCAATCATTTCATTTGGAGTTTATTTTTCATCGTTTCTGTAAATGTTTCATTCAAAAATGTCAGAAATGTAATAAAATTGTCATTAAAAATCTCATCTAATAACTGTTGAACTTATCAATGATCGCTTTAAATCTGAGTAAACAGGTTTTTAAACATTTCTGGCAATGCTCCTTATTTTAACAACTGAAGGAGGTGAAAACCCAAACTGTGGAAAACACCTAAATAACATGAAGAGGAGTAAAACCTGAAAGTGAAGCTTAGAAGAGGAGGGAGTTAACCAGCAGGGTCAGAACTGCGGATACAAACCACAAACCCATGAAGTTGTTTCTTTAATAGAACACTTTATTAGGCAGGCTCACAAAGAGATTCATCAAGATTCAAACATTTATTTATTTGTAAACACTTTAGTCTTCACGTTGTCACATGACTTCAGACCCAAATGATGAAAATAAACATATTCAGTCTGTTGGAGGAAAGAAGAAAGAGAAACCAAAACAGATCCCCGCATTTTCCACCTTAAATCCACCAAAAGATGTTCCTAGTGTCAAACAAACCAATAAACAATCCTAAACATAAACATGTTTTCTTTTTAATGAGTTCTCCTCAAATCAGTAAAAAAAAAGGTCAAATAGCACAGTTGTTTACTCTTAAAATCTAAATCTCCCACTTGTCTTTAAAATCTGTGATAAAAATGAGAAATATTATCGTATGAAATTTAATAATATTGCTTTGTAAAAGAAAAAAAAACAAATGCATAAATTGCGTTTGCATCACAAACTGAGTTTTATTAATTAAAATTTCATCTAAACTGTCAAAATTTCAGACTGTCACTGTAAAAAAAGACATCTTTATGTTTCCCTTTCAGCCATATGTGGTTTCAGATGGGAGTTTTAAATATAAACAAAAAAAATACACGTTTTGGCGGATTTTATTGCACACAAGCAACCAGTTTTTCCATCTTTACTAATTAAATGTGAGGTAAACAGAAAATAAAAAATACATTCATGCATTTTAACAAAACAGAAAAGCTCCCCATGAGAAAATAAATGAAGCTTTGAGAACATTAGCACTTTAGAGCTAAGCAAGCTAAATAAGTCCCTATTGCTACTACTGAACAAAGCTTCTTTCTTTGGTCCAATAACACAAAAACCCCATTAAATTTAAATAAACTATTTTTACTAAATAAAAAATATTCCAAGGTTTTCCAAAGTCTAAACAACATTAATAATAATAATCTTTGCTCCCAAAGCGACAAAACTTTATCAAAACTAATAAAGTCCTGTAGCTTGACTGGTAGACTAGAAAACGTGAATAAAACTGCTGACTTAGGCCAATAAATAATTAGATGTGGTGAAACTTTAACATCTCCACAGCAGGTTTAAACTTGACGAGTTTAACTTGTGAAACTGAAACGTACCAGAGAGACGTAGCTACAGCTAACTTTACGTCACCTACAAACACAGCTACATCATCAACGTACGGTGATAGTTTCTGCTTCGGTCTGTGGGTAAAGTTGGGTTCCTGCTTTTAAAACTTAAACTTTAATGGAAACAATTAAAAACAGGAAAGTATCCAAACTAAGAAAGTGCTTTTCTGTTATTTGATTAAAGATGTCAGAAATGCTGATTTTCCCGCCAAAAACAAGATGAGCGTTGAAGAAAACTAAAACTAGACCAAATAGAAGGATTTTAACCAACAGTTTTAAAATAAAAAAAAAATGAATTATCAGCTGCAATAACTGCTAAACCTAGAACTTAGAAATAGAAACATTAGTGATGAAACGCTCTTTGGAGTTTTAACAACTCAGCAGATACGACGGTCAGCTAACGCTAAGAGTGTTTATTAGACCAAGTCTCTGGATCGCAGTAGGAAGTAACTGCACCTCCTCAGCATCAACCTTTAGCCTTTGGTCCTAAAAACCAGATCAGGTTCAGAACAAACCTTTAAGTTCGGCCATGACAGAGAATCACGCAGGTTCCTAACAAAAGCATCACTGGCACAAACCAACAGTTAGCCGGCTTTACCCAAACCGTTGCTTTAGAGATTCTGACTCTGTGGAGTTTGACTTTCAACCCAAACGATTCATTCATTCATCGTCTTCTGAGTCCTACTGGAGTGTTTTTGGTCCCTTTTAGCTTTTATAGTAAATTGTAAAAGAAACAGAAGACATATTGAAACACGAGCTTCTCCCCTCGGCTCTGAAGTTGTTTTTCCAGCCTGGAGGTGATTCAGTCTGAGTGTTTCTGACTGCAGCGCTCAAAGGAAAGCTTTGCGCCTCATAAAGGATTAGACGGATTTACTCCACAAACCCAGCAGAGAGGCCTGCCTTATGCACATTTGTTTGATTTTCCCTGATAAGTTAGTTATTCTCCTTATGGCCAACATTTAATAACTAACAAATATAGATTTAGAATAAATTTAGATGAGTTTTAACAACAACTCGGACCATTTCCTGGTCTCTCCAGACCTGAATGAGTTATCCCACCGATCCCACTCCTTATCCTAAACAAATTACTTCCATCGACTCCCTGCTTCTGCAGCCTAAAGCCACCTGCTTCCCTCCAACAGAGGAAGGAAACCTAAAAAATATCTAAATCGTTCCCACGGCTACCAGTTTGACCAATCTACGGTCCCGGTCTCTTTAAGCTGCTATGGTCAACTGTCCTCCAGCCAGGAGGGGGCACCATCCACACTGGAGACATCCAGCTTTTCCACCGCCTGTCGCATGTTCTGCTCCAGGAAGCTGTGGCAGGAGAAGCAGTGTGCAGCAATAGCGCTGTGTAGCAGAATCAGCTTGTTGTGGAGAACCTTCACCTGCAGGGACACAACAAAGGACCAGGAGGTTTCTAACTGGTAAGTCTAACTGGGATGTGGAACGGCTCCAGTTACACCAGGTCAGTCGCAATCTGTCTCACCCTGTTTTCCTCTAGCAGCTTGATCTTTACGGACAGATCATCTCGGACCTTCTGGTACCGTTCCTTCTGACCCTGGAAGGTCTTCTGAGCCTGTTCCAGTTTCGGCAGGGTAATGGCGTCCCGCGGGCCCATGTTCAGCTCCTCCAGGTCCACCCGGTACGCGTCATACTCAACCCTGCAGGTGAGGGGTGGGCAGGAAGTCATTCACGTTTAGTTATGGTTACAATTATGACTACATTTCCCAGAATGCCCTTCTGTATCCATTCATTTGGCTTTTTCCAGCTAAGAGGTTTGATTCCAGGCCACGTAGGGTGACATGGCAAAGTGCCTTTGAGCAAGACGCTGATCCCTAAAAGTGCTAGGGGACAGCTGACCCTCTCTCTGTGTGTGTGTGTGTGTGTGTGTGTGTGTGTGTGTGTGTGTGTGTGTGTGTGTGTGTGTGTGTGTGTGTGTGTGTGTGTGTGTGTGTGTGTGTGTGTGTGTGTGTGTGTGTGTGTGTGTGTGTGTCCCACTCACCTGGAGGTCTCGTACTGCTTGGCGTTGATCATGGTGTCCTCGATGGTTTTGTTCACCAGAGTGTTCATATCAGCCGTGAAGGCATTGAACGCTCCCGCTAGAGTCTCGCCGCTCTTGGACAGAAACTTCTGAGCCTCGGCGTTCAAACTGAACTCCACCTGATGTTTGAGCACAAGCAGCTGCCTCAGGTCCACAGAGTGCACACATGAATGCACAAATAACAAAACGAGTCTCCGTTGGACAAAAAAAAAGCAGAATCTACTCAATATTTTTAAAATTATGTCCCACTCATTTTTCTAAGGGGTTGATTTTTCCTGATACCGCCATCAGAGGGCGCTCTGTCCTGACTCACATGGAGGTTCTGCGACTTGACGCTGAGCTCGGTGAAGACGTCACCCAGAGACTTCTGAGTGACCGTGAACTGAGCGAGCTGATTGGCTAGCGTCTGGGTCAGCTTGGTCATGTGATCGTATCGCTGTCGGTCATCTTTGAGCAGATCGAGTCGCGGCTCCAGTTCCAGATCAACGGTCCGGGATCCCCGGCCGAGCCGCTCTGCCAGAGCCTGGCGGGTACACTACGTAGAGCGACGGAACAGCTGATCAGACAGATGTTTACCGTTTACACATCTGGAATCAGACAGGCTCCGCCCACCTTATATTTGCTGACGCTCCACTTGCGGACTCTGTCCAGCTTCTCGCTGGCCGGGTTCTTGTTGGTGCCTTCGACGACAACAGTTCCACCTTTCTGTGGGGTCACCGTGAACTCTAGAGGTCAAAGGTCAGAACTTTTTTTTTCACTTTGATTTAAAACATTTTATTGAATCACCAAACTTCCAAATCAGTTTTTATGTCACTAACATTTAAAGAGTTAAAGTTCTAAATAACCTTTAGCTTCACAAAAGCTGTTTTTGCAGGACCATAGCATCTGCAAAACGGCATTTGCCGAGGCTCCCTGGGGAGGATAAAGGTCGTTTATAAGATCAGACCGTGGCGGCAATGTGGCGCAATCGTGATAATTTTATAAAAGATTAGATGATGGCGGCATAAAGGGGGTATGGGGGCGGTCTCTGCGCTGCCGCAGACTTCCGTTTATCTTGGACATAACTTGCTTTCTATTGCGGTTGAAGCCGTGATCGTTACTTTTTTTTTAACAAGCAGCTCCTAAAGGTGTCTGTCCCCATCAGTCCCTGTGCAGTCTCTGGTGATCTGAGCTTCAGCTCTAACAGAGACGCTCACGGAGCGCTGCGGCGCTCCAGTTTGCCATCTCAGGTGATTTTGTTCAAAAAGCAAACCTTATTGCCCGTGTTTACTTTCATTTTCAATAAATTTGCCAGCCTGAGTTCAGCAAGAACTCCCCACATCATCATGACATCTGCCTCTGTTGCGCCAGGGCGCATACGACAGACCATTACCGCAACATTACTACCAAGCGAGGCGGAACAAATGCCGCAAAATTCGCGCAACGCCATGCCGGCATGGCGCGTTTATGGACATACCATTGCGGTAATATTATGCCGATTTGCCGGCATGGTGTGTCTTGTAACGGAGGCTAAAGAGGAACAAGAGTTTACGTCTCTACGGGTTTTTACATCCAAGTATGTTGTTGTTGTTTACAAGCAGCTAAATGTAGCATCCCAGGTACAGCAGTAACTATGTAATGGTTCTGTGTGTCTGATCTTAGCTGCACTCAAAGACTAGCCATTAGCACATCCGTCCTGAATATCAAAATCTCCATTTCTCAGAGCAGAGGCTGTTCAGAAAGTTATGAATAAAATAGTTTTCAAACTTTTACACAGAATTATATTTTAAAATATCTTTGAAAAAGCATTTCAAGACAATTTAAAAGTCTAATCCTTTAAATAACACTGCGACGTCACGAAATGGACTGATTTTAATGATCCCACAGGTCATATGCAGCCAGAGCAAATAACCCTGGCTACTACACGTCCTGCTGTGTCTTCTCTTGTCAGGAGTCTGCACAACTCAGCATTTTAATCAGATGACTTCATCAGCTGAGCGCAGCTTCATCAGATAATAAAGATGAACAGTAGCATTGCTTTCCCCAAGGTTCCTCACAAGAGAACTGTTTTAGATACATCTTTATTCCCAGAAGAAGAAGATTTCATAATTAAAGTAATCATTTTATAATTCAAAATAATCATTGAAGAAAGAAGATTTTATGATTAAAAATCATTACATACTGCCATGTATAATTAAGCAATGAAATGTTCATGAATCTGTATTCAATGATGGTTTAGTAGTGTTTACAGGACGAGGTCATCATTACACCAGACAAGAAGGTTAAAATTAAGAACGCATGACACATAACTAACCTTGTCCCTAGACTCAGAGACTCTGCGTCTCAGAGCGTGTGTTTCTGAGATTGTTGGTAAGTTTGGTAATAGATAACAGCGGTTATATAAACCAGCCGCTCTGCTTTCTTGGCAGTCGGGAGAGCAAGCTGGAGACTGGCCATCTCTTAGCAGATCTCTAGCTCAGAAAGATTTTGACACGCTGTCAAAACCTTAAAGCTTTTTGCACCTGAGAACAACAAGATAGTTTTCCTGTAGAACAAAGCTGATTTTGCAAAACTCCTCCAGAGTTGATTTTAAGACGCTTGGTTCCATTCATCTATCGCTGTGACCCGGAGGCATCTGAGGACTGATTTGGTCGCATCGAGGTTTCTCTACGAACCAGGTGCAGTGGGGTCGTCGGCTCCTGGACATCTCGGATCCAATCGGGGTCTCCAAATGGGTGAGGTAGACACAACGAGATAGCGTCTGCATGTGGTTCTGATAATAACAGCTTATAGCTTATCTGCTAACCAAATTATTTTATATCCAGAACGCACCTCACTGAAGATACGGAGATTCTGATTCATCATCTCATATTCACACAGCTTTCAGACACCCATCTTTTAGTTCCATCCACTCACAGGACAATAGTTTAAACCATTTGTCAAAGTCTTAATTGTTTGTAAAATAAATTCTTATTTGTTTGCAAACACTGATAAACGAAGTGTGAACGGTCCCTTAATAATTAAAAGAATCTTAGAACCTTCTAATTAATCATCCTAGATTAATTTTAATATTATAATATATAGTATATAATATAATATAGTATTACAGCTATTGGTCACAAGTAATGAGAATAGAAATAAATAGCTTTTAAAGCTATTTATTTTGCCCACATTACTCTAATATTTTCCATTACAACACAAAAACTTATTTTTGAATGTTTTAAAATAAGAAATCAAACTGACTAAAATCTGAACTTTTATGAATTATACAACAACTTTAACGATTCTGTGAGAAATTCTACATTTTTACTTTAGAGACGTTCATTTTAGACATTCTGACATTCTTTAGTGAATCCAGCATCTGTAAATATTCTGAGTTTCATCCTCAACCAGAGGGATAGTTGAGCCAAATCTTCAAACATTAATAATACATGTCCGCCGTGTGAACTTTACCTTTGCTCTGGTCCGTTTCCGTGGCGACCGGTGATGTGGCACCAGGCGAACAGGCGGAAACATCCTTGCTGGCGTTACGGTCGCAGTTTGTTTCCTGAACAGAGAAATGTTGCGAGTAAGCGGATGAAGCCCTGAAATCGCAGCTGCACCTTCTGACCGACTTGATGGAGGACCTGTCGGAGACGACCCAACTACTACCCCCCAGGAGGGAGGAGAGATTTGTACACCAGTAGGAGCACCCCAGAGCTTCCAGTAACCCCAGTGGAGCCACATTTAACGGGGTTGAGCTCTGGTTTTGTCACCAGCAGCCTGTCAGACACACAGTCTGGTCTTTTTTCTAAATATCAATCAAATATGATCTCAGCTCAAGCTAGAAGAGATCAGAGCTGACAACTCACGTTTCCTGCTGCTCCTGAATGCACCATAAGCTGAGCAAAAACAAAAAGGTCAGGGGTCACGGTGACCTGAGGAAGGATCACAGTGGGAACTGGAACTGGAGTTTATTACAGCCAATCAGGACCTGGATGGAAATAACTGTATGGTTGCCGTAGTAACAGTGGCTCGCTGATGCTGTTGGCAGACGGTCAGAGGTCACTTGAGATCCTGAACATGTCCTTCTGCAAACGCAAGCAGAGCCTGGACATTTATGGTGTGTGTGTGTGTGTGTGTGTGTGTGTGTGTGTGTGTGTGTGTGTGTGTGTGTGTGCGTGCGTGTGTGTGTGTGTGTGTGTGTAGAGGAAGTCAGATATCTGATGAACTAAACAGCAGAGACACGTTTTAGTGTGAAATCAGACGCGGAGACAAACATCAGTGTGATTTCTTACATTTATGAGACATCTGATAACGTGTTCTAATCTTCAGCAGTTTAATGGTAATCTGATTAAATAAATCTGAGCATGGAGGATTGGATCCTGTGGTCTGACCTGAGGAGGCGTCTTCTCCTCGGCCACGCCGTCGTCTTCTTTCTGCTGCGCCGCCTCCATCTCCTCCTCTAAACCTGGAGCCAAATTACAGCAGAGACCATTAGACACATGACAGACATGTTAACATAAAGCAGGTGTGTTTACTTGGACGGGTGGGCTCAACCGACACCAACAAAACTCTCTTGAGACTTTAAAAATAAACATGGTTTTATTTTTATAGTAAACTGAAGGAATCAGAAAGTTTGAAGATTCATTAATGAACCCAGAAATCAGTTTTACTTCATTTTTATGCGATTTTTCACATTCAGATTAAACCTGCTGAGGTTTTATTTCACTTTTACTGGGTTAATCTACCAGATCTGTGCTGGTAAAGGCGAGTCTCAGTGGCTCCAGTTTGTCTTTTTAAATCAAAGTTTTTGTTTTTAATGTCATTTAATTTAATTTTTATGTTACAGGGTATCTGCAGGTTGAAGGGAGCCAAATTTAAGACTTTTTAAGACCTTTTTTAAGGCCACTTTGACCAAATTTAAGCTATTTTTAAAATTAAATTTAAGCTATAATTTCCAGCTATTGCCTGGAATCGGTCCTAACCACATCGCGAACGTGGGATTACCCGTCCAGTTACCATTAAACTTCCCCATGGTGCAAGCTCCCACTAGCTTAACCAGCTAATGTGCTCATCTCAAAATAGCCCCCTTTCACAACCAACTGAATGTGTACGGTTCCGCTTACGGCAACATCGTACACAAAAAAATCTGAACACTAACTAGAAATTCACGAAATTTTTATAGAAATAAAATAATCTTGTTTAGTGGGCCTTTGGTAATTGAAGACCTTTGGAAACTGGATTTAAGGATTATTTGTAATTTTTAAGGATTTTTAAGGCCTTAAATTTTGAAAAGCAAATTTAAGACTTTTTAAGACTTTTTAAGGACCCGCGGCTACCCTGTGTTAGATTTAATGCATGTTGTTTAACGGGTACATTTGAAAAGTAATCTCTGTGTTTGTGGGGATCTTTGTCTCGTTTCTCTAAAAGATATCAATTAAATAGTAAAATAAAAAATTCCCTAAACTCATCATCAGAAAAAACAACATCTGGCTTTGAAACTTGAAACAAACTCAGGAAAAAATACCAGATTTCTTTCATTTTTGAATGAAAATAAATTGTTTGTGTTGCTTCCAGAATTTTTGTTGTTGTTGTTGGACTTTAGTCCCCTCCTCCCTCCGGTTGGAGTCGCTGACATTATTCATTATATTTATAACATTTCTGAGCCAAAATAAGTAAAAGACAGACTCTAAGTGCTGCAGCGGGTCTCCATCTAGAGGTCATAAACACACACAGCAGCCACCCCTAAAGAGCCCTTAACCTCATAATCACTGGTCAGATCAACCTGCAGTCATGACTAAAGCTGCTGAGGTAACGTCTGTAAAACTTTATTAACTCCGAAGTTCAGACGCTCGACGCCTTTGGCCTCCTGGAGGATCCTCCTCCGCTCTGCTGCTGCTTTATCTCACAGAGAACATGAAAGTGTCAAAGTTCAGAGGTGATCGGTTAGCTTCTGTCTGACATGAAGGGAGAAGTCTGACTTCCTCGCAGAAGCAGAACGCAGCACCATTGTGTTTTTGATTAAAACAACTACACAACTAGGTTCATTATTGACACTTTTAAGGCACATTTTTGACTAAAACACACAAAAACATAACCCAGATGAAAATTTAGCCCCATATTGATGAAGTTTTTCTGATGTTTGTGGAGTTTTAGTTGAATTTTATACAGAAAATAAAAGACAAACAGATAATAAGTGACTTTTTTTACTTAATAATTCCTCATTTCTGCTTTTGTTTGACATCGTTCATTTTAGGGAAAGCAACGATGGTTTAAATAAACTATAAGCTGCGTAAAGACCCAGACGGCCTTTTTAAATCGGTTTTCTATCTGATTTTCTCCTATTTCATGTTAGTTTTTCCTTCCAAACATACTTGTTAACCTCCAGCCTTGATCCTGACAACAACAGGCTCCATAACTCAAGGGATGAGCCAGATGTAGCTTCTTTGTCAGCAGAAATCACAAAAACACAATTTAGTTCCACTCCCCCCCCCAAAAAACACAGTTTGACAGAGAAAACTGGGTTCAGGTACAAACTAGTCAGTCAATAACCAAAATCCACAGATCAGAGAGACTAAATGACAGATAATCAGATGAAACACGCGTCAGTAGACGGCTTTTGTCGTAGATGTAGTCACATTGATGCTTAGTACACACAGGTTATTTCTGACTGCCTTTATGAAGCTGGAGGTGAACACTTCCAGAACATTTTAGCTGTTTTTGTACATGGAGACACTTTAAATCGAACTGATCAGGCCTAAAGCAGACTGCATAACTGAAGGGATGAGTCAGAACATCAGGAGCACTGATGACCTGGTTATTGTTACACCTTCATGTTTTTATTGATACCAGACAGGATTTGTTCTCAGTTTAAAGTTTTTATTCATAAAAAAGCTGAATTTATCTCCTTTTCAGCACCAAGCCATGAGCTAAACCTGCAACTAACTCCACCTGATAATAAACAGTTATGTCCTGTTCTCCAGTAGCTTCATGGAGGTCAGGACTAGTTAGAGTTGGTAACTAGTTGTGTGTTGGGGACTCTCCACATACACCTGAGCAGGTAAAACCCGTTCCAACACCTGAAGCTTATCCGGTTAGGTCGTTTAAAGATGATTTCCTCTTCAGGGAAAAGGAGAAATCTGCTCCCAAACACACCGAACCGAAGTTTTCAGACACTGTTTTTACCTTTCTGTGGTTAAACGGCTCCTTTTCTTTCTTCCGCTTCTCCTCTTCCTCCTTCTGCCTGCCTTTCCTCCTGCTCCGTTAACTCCTCATGTCTGAAACTTACAACCAGGCTGCTTTAAAAACTTCTAAAGAACTAAAGTAGGAAAAAGTCAAACACAACCGGAAGTGTTTTCTGGGCGGTTGGTGGATGCTCGGAGTTATCTCCTGCGCTCACCGGAGGGGCGGTGACACCCAGCGGTCCAGGATCAAAGTTCTGCGCTAGATAGTTGAAATTGAAGAATATGGAAGCTCATTTGTCCTACTAAAATAAAAGATCACATGATACGTGTTTCAGTTTGAAAGTCATGATTTTGACTTTAAAAAGACGAGTCATTAAATCATATTAGTCTGATGAAAAAATGCTGAGTCAGCATTTAAATTATAGTAAGTCTGTCTGTTCCTGGTTCCCTGCTTCATGTTTGTTAATTTGTACTATGACAGAGGTGTGACCAAGTCACTGCTTTGCAAGTCGCAAGTAAGTCACAAGTCTTTCCAGTCAAGTCCATGTCAATGACAACCAAGTCCAAGTCAAGTCCAAGTCCTTTGAATTTTCAAGTCATTATCAAGTCATCTGTCCAACTTCCATTTAATGACAATGATAATAAATAAATCGCAGAAATAAAGCTTCATAAAGCTTCATTTATTTGCTCAAACAAGCAGAAAGTGCCACTGAAACTGATTATAAACAAAGTGCTGCTGCATTTAACAGAACAAGATCAAACCCAGAACGAAGAATGATTCATGATTTTTGTCCATGTCGGGCCACTTTTGCGCTAAAATATCAAATATGCTCAAGTCATCATCAAGTCAACAGATGCAAGTTGATTCAAGTTGCAAGTCATTGGCGTTCAAGTCAGAGTCAAGTCGTAAGTCTTTATAGATTTTATCAAGTCAAGTCAGAAGTCATTGAAATAATGACTCAAGTCTGACTCGAGTCAAAGTCATGTGACTCGAGTCCACACCTCTGAGTAATGAGGGTTTGAATTGCACACGGTCTTCTGGGGGCGCCCAGGAGCAGGGAGGTGTGTGGTTTGATCGATACACCTGTAGTAACTGGAACATTTTTCAGGCTCCCCCTGCATCTGTCAGTTGGGGGCTTCTGGGGGACTCCATCACCCCCTCGAGGAGCCAGGCTCCCCTTAGCTCCCTTGTAATTCGAGCTCTTCTAGTAATTGTGTTTTTTTAAATATTTTTAGTCTGCCGTTTGTAGCTGTTTTCACACCTCTGTAGAGCCAGGAGCTAAAAGAACATGGGGTAGATTTTCTCTGAAGTGTAAACGATGTTTCCTGTCAAACAGGAAGGCGAGTGAATGCTCTGATCTTCATGCCGCTGTCCGAAAGGGAGGAAGGAGACACGAACTGTTGCTTTTATCACCTGCCTGTAAACATCACCTATAACAAGAAACCATTGATTCAAATTCACGTAAAACTGGTTCACCACTTCCCTCTTTCACGACAGATATTACAATGATGGTGCATTTAGGTGCTCAAGAGAAACAGAATTTTCAGTTTTAAAAAAGGTTTAACAAGACTGAACGGAGTAGGTAGGTTTGGCTAATTCGTGTCTAAATTCATTTTTTAATTGTTTGATTAACCAAACGGGAATGACGACTTAGTTAAAGCTGCTGGAACCTGTAGATTTAACACTGCAAATAGTTAGCTACCAGCACTCGTAGACCTGATCGCTACTAGACCTGTGGACTTAATAAAGCCCTTAAATGGATGAAGCAGGCTAAAAGATCTCAAAAAGCAACACGTCCTGCCTCGTTCAGCCTAAAAAGCTTAATGATGATTAGACAAATCAGAACATTTCTGAGGAACTTTTTGGAGGTTTTGACTATGTTAAATATTATTTTCTCACTAAAACAGGATCCCTGTCCGGTGTTCCTGAAGAAGAGCTTAATCTGCAGAACTGAACTGGATTTTACCCTTAGGATGTCCCTCATTACTATGTAATCATTGAGTGGGTCACAGGGGGAATCTCTGACTTCCCAAAGTGGAAACCAATGCGGAAGTGACACACGTGCAGTTCCACCCTCCTCCACTAGGGGCTGGCTCCAGAAAGGAGCAAGTTCTCATTGACTCCCATGTTAAAAATTGCAACTTCACAGCAGAAATGAATATCCTTCCAGCACTTAAAGCTTATGAATAATTAGGGGCATGTCCATTTGATTGACAAGTAACAGATGAGCAATTGGCGCTAGCGGCTTGCCTCCTGCTTCATCTAGGAAAGGTCTCAGCCTCGGCCTCACGTTAAAACTGTTACAGCCCAGAAGGCAGACGATAGCAGAGTAACTCAACCACGATCTTCTTCTGGCTAAAAACACCCACTAATCTCTGTTAGCTTCAGTTAGCTCAGTTAGCTCGTAGCTACATGCAGTTTAGAGTTTGATGGGTGTCAGTCATCTGCCCCCACCCTCACAGCCTCGCTTTTCTTTTATTTTCCAGAAGTGAGGAGCCGCATAACACGGTTAAGATGGTGGTGGTGGGAACATTGTTATGTAAAAGCCCAAAATAATGGCTGTTTAAGCCAGCTTTTACAGATTTTTGGTGCATCGCCACCATCTGGACTCATAGGAAAACAGACCAAGTGTTTGATGGGTGGCTTTAGCCACTCACACCAAACATGAAAATCCAGACTGGTCTTGCATAACACCCCCACACTTCCTGTGTCTTCGTCTCCACAGACAGAACAAAGGACCGACGACCTGGTGATAAACACGAGTTCAGCTGCAGTTCAAAGGCAGCACATGTCAAAGTATTTATTATGTTATTTAAACCAGACATCAAAAACATTAAGTGTATATAAGTAACATATTATTTGTTAAGTAATTATCTGCATGGTGACTTTGCGGCGTGCTCCTCTGGCCCAGCTGGCCTGCAGCGCTGCAAAGAGGAGAAACAGCACAACAATGTGGTTTTGTGATTAAGGAGCAGTGACAGCAGGGCTAACACTAATGAGTGTGTTTACATGAGCTCACCTCTCCGCTCGCTCCTCCTGTCCTGGTAGATGAGTCCCAGGATGATGGTGGACAGCAGGTAAGGAGCTCCAACTATCAGGAGACGTACCAGCGTGAAGACGGACAGCAGAGGAGCCGATTGCTCCTGGTGAGGAGGTGAAAGGGCTGCAAAGCAAAAGGATCCATGTTTGTGGTAATCCGAGATGCTTCGACCCTAACCCTCAGCTTCTACTGATCTGATTCTGAACCTCAGAGACTAGATTTGTTCTTTCTCAGGTGTCAGATCCTCTGGTTTATTAGTTCGTCTGTTTCTGTAGCAGCAACAGAAACAGGTCAAAGTCCAGGATGTTTAGATTTTTTAATTTTTACCAACCACAGCCCAGCCACGAGTGGGCAAACCCAAACGGTCTGCTTTACGTTGAGCATTTCGTATTGAGTGTGAAGAGTGACGTTTTTATCTGACAGTGATTAGCCTGTTCCTCTAAAAGCAGAATGTAACCTCTTTGCTCACCTCTGACGGTCAGCCAGCTCTCTGGGGACTCTCCCGACCTGCGGACCTTACACCTGTACCGCCCCTGGTCGGACACAGAGACATCAAGGAGAGTCATGCTTCCTTCGATGCCGTTGTTGATAAGGACGTCATTTTTGTAGAACTCTGTCATGCCAGGACTTTTACTTCTGCAGATCAGAGTCGCGCTGTCTCCTTCTGTCACTGGAACCGCCGGACTCTCCAGGATCACAGAACCGGCTGAACAAAAGAGTCGTGTTTAAACCGTAAACAGAATGAGCTTGATTTCAATTCAAGTTTATTTATATAGCGCCAAATCACAACAAGACTTCACATAGTAAACATTCCAGTGCAGGTCAGTTCATGAAGCCAATCAGGAAAAATTTTCTACACAAGGAATCCAGCAAATTGCATCAAGTCACTGACTAGCGTCAATGTCTTTTGAGCAATCCTCATACTAAGCAAGCATTTAGCGATAGTGGAGAGGAACACTCCCTTTTAACAGGAAGTAACCTCCAGAGGATCCTGGCTCAGTGTAAGCAGCCATCCACCACGACTCACTGGGGATGGATATTCTGCTGAATGATCGAGGACCAAACACGGTTCCCTGAGGAACTATCAGACCCATGATCTCCCTTTAGCTTGTTAAGGTTGGTTTATGCTTGACGCGTCCGCGAGGTCCGCACGGCTCCGCGCGGAAAAGTTGCGTCATTTTAACAACCACGCCCCTCCACCGCGCCTCCGCACGGCCCAAACTTTCCGCAACGCGCACCTCGGAAAATTTCTAACCACGCGGACGGACGGACGTGGAAAAACATGGCGGACCGGCAAGAACTAGTATGGCAGAGGTTCGTAAATACAGACATTTGTATGATTCAGCTCTCAGAGATCACCGTGATCAACATGTTGTTAATAATTCTTGGAGAGAAATAGCTCACACTGTCGGAAAAGACGAGGACGCTGTTAAAAATGCTGAAATGCCGTGTTGTAAACAGTAATTTCTACTTCTACTATGGTGTAGTGTTGGATGCATGCCGCAGAGCTCCATGCTGCCCCCTACAGTTTGGGAGAATATTGGCTCACCGCAGAGACGAGCCGCACGAACCATAAACGCTGCGAGTTGTGAAGCGCGTTCCATCCGCGAGCCGCATCACCGTGCGGAAAGTGAATGCGTCAAGCATAAACCAAGCTTCAGCATCTTTATTTTGTACATGTCTTTGTAATTAGGACTGAGTAGATTCTGTGAGCTGGTTTGATCCAGTAAAGGAGTTCATACTTGTTATATTGATGATGATTTCGCTGCTGTTGGCTCCTAGTCCAGTTTCACACCAGTACGTGCCGCTGTGTGTTTCTGGGAAGGCAGCGGAGACGCAGAGCGGGGTCATGTGTTGGTGCACCTGAGGGGAAATGTAGATTACAAACACACTGACCATAAAACCGCTCAGAATCAGCGATGAGACTGGCTCTGGGCACACCTTTCCATCCCTCCTCCTCTGTATTACTCTCCATCCATCCATGTCCTTCTCGCCCTCACAGCTCACACAAAAATGATCGTATTTGAAGAACTGGAGTTGTCTGGGAGAAACCGACACGAAGACTAGAGGAGAAACAAAGCAGGATTTTAATGTACCAGAAGGAGTTAACTTTATACCTGCTGACAGTGATCCTACCTGCTGCTTCATCACCATCCATCAGCATCAGCACTGAACCAGACAAGAACACAATATAGGTTAGAAAGAAAACATCAGAGTTTATCTCCTTCGTTAAAAGAAGCTGAAGCCCTGAAGGATAATCATTAATTATTATTTCCAATTTACCCTAAAAATTCTTATGTTTATTATTCATCCTATTTTTCACATGCTTCACTTATATGTTTGCATCCTTCCGTCGGAGTAAATTCCTTGTGACGTGAGACTCACTTACTTGGCAATAAAACATGACTCTGATTCTGATTCCATAATTAGGACAAAACCTGTATAAAACTACCATCTGGGACCAGTTCAGGTGGCTAAAGCAAGGGTTAGAGGCATATTTAATGAGATTATTATTAGGTCATTCTCAAGATGTTTCATGTAAAAACTATTTTTAACTGGTGTAACTTTACACAACAGATTTTCTCTTGCTGTTATTTGAATATTAAAACATTTTATTTAATCACATATTAATACAATAAACAACCAAATCTTCTAAAATGAAATAGAAAATGTGTTAATTTCATAGTATTTTACACTTTTTCTGTTATTACATGACTGTAAAGTGCATTAAACATTAAAATAGGATAAAAAGTCACTCACAGAGCAAGAACCCGAGAGCTGCTGCCTTCAACATCCTGTCGGTGTCTGTCACTGCTGCTGACTGATGCAAAGCAGCGGAAACATCTAAGAAAAATTATCCTACCTTAAAATATTAATAGTTGAACAAACTTCAGAATCTGAACACTAAAACATTCAGAAAAAGACGATAAAATGTTAAATATTTAACATAATTATGGTCTGACCGTCTGTGGCGGGGTTAAATGTAAACAAACTGTTTATTCAGCTGGTTTTCTATCATTTTTCATGTTTTTGAGATATGGCGCCATCTTGCGGAAAAAGAAGAAAAATAGAACCAGAATTGCAATGCTCACCGCGAACCACGTGACCGCGAGTCGAGTTCAAATCTGGTTCAAACAACAGCTCTGTCTAATCGAACAGAACAAACTACGACGTTGCAGCTCTCGCGATATCTTGCGTGACTGTTTTCCCCTCTTCGGTGTGAAGTCCGCTGCGAATAAGCCGGAAACGGTAAGAAGTGAATTTTTGTACATTCTATAGTACACGATATAACTTTATCAAGTGTTTGGTGTTTTTTGGGGGGTTCTCTTTCCTGTCACCTGCAGCTCACCTGCATTAGCTCACCTGCAGCTAACAAAAGTTTATAAAATCACAGCTGATGAGATTTTAGTATCAGAACATCACGAAGATGCGTCCGCGGGATCATTTCTACAGGAGTCACATATTTGTCTCGCCACCTGTTTATTTAGTATAAAGATGGACGCTGATGATGAAGAGGACTGAAGGGTTGTGGGGAGGAGGAGGATGAAGCTGAGGGTGAACTGCTGTCAGCTGATGTTTCCACCCAGATGTCAAACATCTGGAAACCTTCAGAGAGAAGAAGCGCTCCGAGGATGGAAAGCGGTATCCTGTTTATTTAAGGAAGCCTTGTAGAGTGTGAAAACCTCACTTAAACAAATATATTATTATTATTATTATTATTATTATTATTATCATTATTATTATTACTAATAGTAATAATAACAATAATAATAATAACTATTAATCTGCAAATGTGTCTCTAGTCTGGCTGTTGATGTAATGTTGTTTTCTGGCCTCAAGGTGGAGTCCAAGTTGCTGTTCAAGAGTCTACACTGAACCTGATGGTTGGTATGTTGTTAAACACACACACACACACACACACACACACACACACGCACACACACACAGATAATTACTACTTTTATAATTTATTTTGCTTAAACTCAGTAAATTAATTGATTGTCTGTTTTGCAGAGTGTCAAGGTGTGGTTTCCACGGCAACCAGAGTTCAGGTTCATGTTTCTGTGGTTGATGCTTACAATGTCAGGCAGCACTGCGGCACTCAAACAGTTAAGGTACGAGTGTTCACACACACACACACACACACACACACACACACACACACACACACACACACACACACACACACACACACACACACACACACACACACACACACACACACACACACACACACACACACACACACACACACTTAGTCCTTAAGAGCCTCATAAGTATGTCAAAGTCCACGTTTCTCCAGGCTTGTGCGGATATTTGCACCTTTTGGATCACGTCCTGGTTCCTGTAGGAACCTGTAGCTGCACTGGGAGAGTTTGGGAACGTTCCTGGGATGAGAGGAAAATGACTGGGAAAGTACGCTGGCTTGGTCTCTGCTAACAGCAGAACAGGGACTACAGGAGTGTTGCCCACCTGTATGGGGTAAGCCAGGTGAAGGCCCCCTGTTCTGCTGTGGAGATGCAATAATCTGGACTCTTCATCTGCAGGCACTCAGAGAAACGTAGAAGACAGATGGGTGCTGCCACCGTGAGTAGGTGCTGCAGATGTTTCAGAGTGGTGTGGGGGATATGAATGCCTCTGAGACTTAAGGGACGACGGTGTCTGCTGAAGAGACTAAACTGGATACGAGAGACAGGCGGATGAACAATTTCCTGCTCCCTGCAGCTGCAGATCCACACGAGAGCCCTGTGCATCACCTTGCTGTGTGAATTATTGCGTTGATAAGGTGTAAATTTGCCGTGGGGCTGGGGTTCATAAAAATAGACCAGGTGATCCTCGGCTGCAGCAGCTGGCTCTCTGGTGGGGAAGGAGCCTGAGTTGGCGTGTGAGGTTGAGCGGTTCTGACTATATATAGTCGGACTCACCTGGATGCATGGCTCTGGCTCCGGATCCTTGAGAGGGGCTGGACACTTTACCACCCTGGAGTTGCTCCCACTGAGAGGCGCAGAGCAGGGGTGGGCGTACTTGTAACCCTCATCTTGGTGCCTGTACGTTGGGGTTTACCCCGGTGAACGAGAGGGTAGCCTCCCTCCGCCTACGTGTGGGGGGACTGGTTCTGACTGTGGTCTGTGCTTATGCACCAAACTACAGTTCAGACTACCCACCCTTTTTGGAGACCTTGGAGTGGGAGCTGGAGAGCGCTCCTTCCGGTGACTCCCTCGTTCTGCTGGGGGACTTTAACGCTCACGTGGGCAATGACAGTGAGACCTGGAGAGGTGTGGTTGGGAGGAACGGCCCCCCCGATCTGAATCTGAGCGGTGTTTTGTTATTGGACTTCTGTGCCAGTCATGGATTGTCTATAATGAACACCATGTTCAGACATAAAGGTGTCCACATGTGCTACTGGCACCAGGATACCTTAGGCCGCAGCTCGATGATCGACTTTGTTGTCATTTCATCTGACCTGCGGCCGCATGTCTTGGACACTCGGGTGAAGAGAGGGGCGGAGCTGTTAATTGACCACCACCTGTGGAAAACACGGTGACATTCCCCCTCATCGACTCAACTCACGGGGCCTTGTTGTCTCACAGAGCGCTGTAAAATACGGAGCTTCTTCCGGTCATTGAATGCCACATTTTACATCACACGGCAGCACTCGTCCTCTGAACGGATGAAATTATGATATACGACAGAATAAACACTTTTAATGTTATTAATGTTACTGTGGACGCTTTCTGGCGCTGATCAGTGACATCACTTATCGCCATCTGTGTTAAAGTAGTTCCAATTACAAATGACTATTTCCCAAAAGTAACTGAGTTAGTAACTCAGTTGTAAAAGTAATTTACCCTGATGGCAGGAGCATCATCGCCACCTACTGGGGAGGAGTGTGAGTCGGGATCCTAAAATCACAGAGAATGAATGAATGAATGAAAAATTTACTGAATGAATGAATTCCTACCAAGAAAACCTGTACACCAATGTAAACTGCTTTAGAGGTGGGTAACATTTATTATAGTTGCCCAACACTTCTGGCAGTCGGATCATCATTGCTCACTGAGTTACAACCAGTCAGCACGAGTCACCTACAAGTCCCGTCGAGCCCACCGAGCCATTTCTGACTGAGTACAGGAAACTTTATGGATGGTGAGGCTGCATCTCCTCTGTGCTTCCAGGGATCCAAACGAGGCGAGTTCCTAACTTCAGTCAGCTTCTGTGTCGACTACAAACTGCATCGTCACAGCAGGATGGAGGTCCGACTCTACAGCGCGGACGGGTCGACTAAATACACTAAAGTGAGTCCGTGTGTGTGTGTGTGTGTGTGTGTGTGTGTCTGTGTGAAAATATCTTTGTAAGAGGATTAGTGTTGAGGATGTGTAAGTCCAGCAGTGGTAACACAGTCTTAATTTATGTCTGAGGTAATCTCACACACACACACACACACACACACACACACACACACACACACACACACACACACACACACACACACACACACACACACACACACACACACACACACACACACACACACACACACACACACACACACACAGGGGCAGAAACTGAACTCATTTCTGTTCTTTGAGCTCCTCTCCCTCCTTTCTGCCCACCAGGCGCTTCGCTAATCTGCATTTTTCCCATAATGCACATGGGCGTGTGTGTTTAATCTGTTTTGGCCATGACGAAAGAGGAGGAGGAGGAGGGATAAAGCGATAGAGGGAAGAGGAGAAACACTTTGCTGGAGTGTGTTGCAGAGGACAGACATCAGAACCTTTTGTCTGGACTCATGGACACATCTGCTCCTCTACTTCAGCTCTCTGATGTCATCATGAGGAAGATGAATCATATTTTAGCTTCTCCTGACTGTCGTTTGTTTGACTTTAACATCGATGGTGCGTTCAGGGGCAGGTAGGAATTGTCAGGTGTCTCCAGACTACAGAACAGATGTAACTTATTACAATTCCAGCTTTGATTTGAACTTTTTTAACCTGTAAAAACTCTGATGATCATCTTTATGATGCTTTCACGTCCACGACAGCTCGTTCCATTAAAAGCAACCAGTAACCGTGACATCATGAGGTCATTACAGTAAAATAAACCCATCAGCTGCTCTAGGATCAGTTTTAGGCTCTAGCATCTCGTTAGAACAACTGAAAACACCAGCGATAAGCAGAGAGCAATGAAGACCTTCACCGAGTGTCTCCGTCCACCTGGAGACAGCAGCTCTGCTGGACAGGTAGGAGACGGCTGTTCCTCAGGGGGTCGGGTTGAGTCAGCAGCAGGTGGATAGCGTTGCCCCGTGTGTGTTCTGGTTTATTAGACCTTTTTCTCTGCTCACCAACCGGACCAGGACCAGGAGTCATTATGGGCACATGACCTGGTCCTGGGGAGGATGTAGGACTATCCATCCATCCATCCATCCATCCATCCATCCATCCATCCATCCATCCATCCATCCATCCATCCATCTATCCATCCATCCATCCATCCATCCATCCATCCATCCATCCATCCATCCATCCATCCATTGTCTGAACCCACTTTGTCCATGTAGGGTCGCGGGGGATGGCTGGTGCCTATCTCCAGCGGTCAATGGGCAATCAGGCGGGGTACACCCTGGACAGAGAGCCAGTCCATCGCAGGATGTAGGACTAGTTTAGGTTAATTAGTTATTAACCAGCTGGTTACCGGGTTTTAGATGGAAAAGATGATGTGAGACTTTAGAGCTTTTATTTGAGTTTCCAACAAGATTAATGTAAAAATAAGTAAATCCCTGAGGCTGGACCTGTTAGCTAACTGGACCTGCTAACTAACTTGACCTGTTAGCTAACTGGACCTGCTAACTAACTGGACCTGCTAACTAACTCAACCTGTTGGCTAACTGGACCTGCTAACTAACTTGACCTGTTAGCTAACTGGACCTGCTAACTAACTTGACCTGCTAGCTAACTGGACCTGCTAACTAACTGGACCTGCTAACTAACTGGACCTGCTAATTAACTGGACCTGCTAACTAACTGGACCTGCTAGCTAACTTGACCTGCTAGCTAACTGGACCTGCTAACTAACTGGACCTGCTAACTAACTGGACCTGCTAATTAACTGGACCTGCTAACTAACTGGACCTGCTAGCTAACTTGACCTGCTAGCTAACTGGACCTGCTAACTAACTGGACCAGCTAACTAACTTGACCTGCTAGCTAACTGGACCTGCTAAATAACTTGACCTGCTAGCTAACTGGACCTGCTAGCGAACTTGACCTGCTAGCTTAACTGGACCTGCTAAATAACTGGACCTGCTAGCTAACAGATTTAGTTTTATTGTTGCATCACAGAGCTGGATCAGTTTTCTGATGATTCTGGGTCAAAGTCTCTATGCAGGACTAAATATGGATGGTGACCCTGGCTAGGTTGGGTCACCTACAGGTCTGCTGAACTCTGACCCCAATCCTAACAGCTCTGTTTGTTTTGCTAAACAACTCGTTGAGAAAGATCAGCTGAGTGATTTCTCGCACGCCTCACTTCTGTTTCGCAAACGCTGAGCCTGAAGCGTTCACGTGAGGCAACACCTGATGAGTGTGTGTGGAAGTTAAAGCTGTTGCGTCTCTGCAGGAATTTGTCAAACTTTCCTCTTTTGTTGCTTTCTTTTTGTTTCACTGACCTGAATATTTAGAACGGAGCTGCTTTTTGTGACACGTCTGGTTAGTGGATGCAGCTCTAAACTCCATAAAAAACAGAGTCTTCTCTAAAACATCTGGTTTATGATTCTGGACCTGCTCTGGGGTCAGGACAGCGCTGCATCGGCGTGCGCTTGGTGATTTAAGTGCTTCTCACTCATCGAGGTAATCCTCTGAGCTTCTGATTATCGCCATGGCAACAGAGTGATGGAGTTTTGCCCCACTGACTCTGCGGGGTCAGACATGTTGGATCGATGTTCTGGTGGACATCCCGTCATGAGTTCAGTCACACAGAGATGGAAGAGGACATGTGAGATGTTCCTGCAGGTTATTAGTGATGATAAAACATGTTTTGATCTCCTTTTACTGACTATTGGCTTTTGTTTCATTGCTGACCTGCATGAGGACCATTGGGTTAGCTTTAAACAGGTGTAGCTAAAGCTAAGCTAGTTTATTAGCATGTGTCTCACACAAGCCATTGGCGTCTCTCCCTGTGCACTGGTTTCCATGGTAATGACGGTTTTATTGTGGCTGCTCCTGTAGTGGTGTTGCTATGTAGAAACCCCAATGGTGAGCTGAGGAGAAGAGGTCTGCTGCAGCCAACCCATCTAACACACACACACACACACACACACCCTAACCTTTCATCCTAAAGCAGCTTCCCTCCTGACATGATTCTAAAGCTCAGCTTCAGGTTTCATTCTCCCGTTTTATCCATCCACACGTCTGATGACCATTTCCTCTCCAGCCCTGGTCCTGCAGGTCTCCATCCAGCATGTTTTAGTTGTTTCCTGCTCCAACACACCTGATTCAGTGGTTGACTGCCTGTTGAGCAGCTCATGAAGCTCTGATTGAAACCAGCTGTGTTGGAGCAGGGTGGGACAAGTTTGAAGGTTGATGAAGGTTTGGTCCTAAATTAGATATTGGATCACATTTTTTCTGATTTAGTTTAATTCCTGATGATTTTCTCTCTACCGGTGGACAGAATTGATGTAAAAACAAACAAAAAGCTGATTTTAAGCTGCAACGACCCTGAAACACTAACAATGTCTGAGTGCGGGTGCTAAAGCGGCAGTAGATCTGTGGGTTTTAAACGAGGAGGTAAACTTCTCTCCTTCCTGCGTGTCTTCTAGAGAAGCTGTCTGGGTTTCACCTCTTTCTCCATCAGAGATCTGCTCCGGTCCAAGGAGCCTCACACCTCCCTCAGCCTCAGGTAAGCTGACTTGAACCTTTTATTAAAGTGTGTTCTGTCTGTGGGCGTAAAACAATCTAAAGCTTCATAAACAGCTGAAGTTCAGCTTGGCTTAAACTACCCGTTCTGTTCTGCAAAAGTCAGACAGCCGTCTGCCCTTTTCCCGTTCATCAAAAAGCTCTCTCACCGTGAAGGCTTTGAGGAGAACTAGCAGGTGATTGGCTGTTGCCTGGATACCTGACACCACATGAGGAAGTGAGCAGCGTGTAGCTCGGCCTCCACGAGAGCAGAGACTCTCTCTTCCGGTCTGAGGCCCGGAGCACCTTCAGATAGACCCTGAAGGTCGGAGGATGACGGGGGGATGAAGGAGAACGAGTGAGCGCGAGAGAGGAGACCTACGGGGGGAGTTCAGCAGGTCTGATCTGGTGATGCGTTCAGGTTTGTCTGGATTTTAAACATCTGATTCTGGTTCAGAGGTGGTACTTTTTGGACTCAGGCTGGTTTGTTCCTGTTGGTTTGTTTCTGTTTGTAAACAAGCAAACAAAGGTAAAAATAGACTGTTGGTTTTTGTTTCCGTTATTCTAACTCTCCGTCTAGAATGACCTATGCTGTTTTTGCTGGTGTCTTAAAAAGTCAAAGCAAATTAAAGTGGCAGAGCGAAGGCAAAACACACCGGCTGTGAATGTGACCTCCAGCCTCTCTGTTGCAGCACCCAGCGTTTATTTCTCTCTACAGTTTTTATTTTGAAGCATCAACACAACTGTTTGGTATCGTTTTTATTCCCACTAGGGTCGGGCGATTTCAATCGTTTTTCCAACCTCCAGTCAGTAGTCTAATAAATGGGCGATTCATTCAACAAAGTGACACATGAACACAGAAGAAGTCCAAGCATGGATTTCTTATGGAAGCACAGTACAAATGTTTGCTGTAAGAGAAATTAAGATTTTTCTTATTGTTTAATTTTGTATTTGTTGTTTGTTAGAGTATAAACATATAAATTACCCGTAATAAGCTCTGTTAAAGCGTTAAAAGCATCTTTGTTTCTCTGCGGTGCCCAATGTTGTGGTATTTTATTTAAACAATGTTTTTTTCTGAACAAAGCCTACTGGGTTTCTGTTTTATGAGTTTGAGTAGGAAATGAATCGCTGCTGCACTTGGACTCAGGCTGAGAAGGGAGCATTTGCTCACGGCCGGTGGTCACACGATTCATTTATCCTGTTACTTTCATTTTTTAATGATAAATTATCATTCAATAATACAGTTAAATTTCCATTGATTTTAAATTATTTTGTCCAAACAAGCTGATCAGAATGTCCCGGTAAAATAAACAATGCAAATTAAACGATTTCACTTAAATTAGGAACATTTGACTCGCTGCGGCCCGAACGCACTTTCCTTCAGCTCTGCGTAAACCTGAGCTGGTCACCTGCAGCTTCTGCGTTATCACATGTCTCTAGGGAGCTGAAGAGGTCATGAGGTTCAGGACTTTGGCTTCAGACAGACTCGTGGATGTTTAAACGTTGTTCTGGAAGAACTGGCGCTCCGCCGCCACACTTGAAGCAGGTGCTGAATGACGAGCGCTACTTTCGGAAAAATGTCTCCAAATGAAAAAATAGAATCTTCCAGACTCTCTGGAAGATAGGATTTCCACTCGACACTGCACTCTTGTGCACCATGTCCAGTGTGTCACAGACGCCCTCCCAGCTCTTCTGCGCACTGCTCACGTGTACTGTCAGCAGTGAGATGCGGAGACAGTGTGAGGTGATGTTCAGATGTTCTGATGGAAATATTTTCCTGAGTGAATGTTGCCTCTGCTGTGTTCTCTGTGCATAACGTGTAAAATATCTGTGCACCTGCAACCAACTCAACCCTCAAACAAATAAATAAACAAATGACCTTTCGTAAAAACAACCGTAACGGCTCAGCCCATTGTCGATGGTTGCATAATTCGTCCAATCACACAACCCTAATTCCCACTGACTTCCTGTTTGGACCGTCAGGCTCCCGTTGCAGCTCTTCTCTGCTTTTATAGCACCACGTCCCCTAATGTGACCCATCTTCACGTGATTTGAACTAAATCAGTCACTGAAGGACATCTACGGCAGACTCCTGCTCCTCCAATCAGCTCACACTACACTACTCAAACCAGACAGAGAGCCGGGCTTGTGGGTACAACCAAAACAAACATGGCTTCAATAGAAGAGATTCGTAACTGGTTAATTTTGAGTAAGAAAGAAAGACAGCAGCAATACCATATATGGTGTGAAAGACCTCTAAACCAGAGACTGAGAGACCGTGGTGAGCGTGTCTCTCTCCTTTTGTCAACTCCACCTACTGGTTACTCGTATATTGCAGCGTTTGGACGCATCACGTTAATTTTGGGGGACGTGAACAAATGACCCTTGAAATCAACTCAAGTTACGCTGGCATGGCAACGACACGTGCTTGTGTCGTTAAACAGCAAGTATATTCCAGGCCCTAGGGGAAGAAGGTCATCAAATTTGCAGATGACACCACAGTAGTGGGATTTATCTGGGACAATGATGAGTCACTGTAAAGGAGGAAGACCAAGTCATCTGGTGAAGTGACAACAACGCCGTTGCTCAATATAGAGAAACTTAATAGTGGAGCATCGACTCATGAAGGTCACAACGTGAGCACACAACCCTATAAAGACTGAAAAAAGGACAAAAAGAGGACTCCAGTGGGCGGTGAGGTATCAGAGAAGGTCATTGTGGGCATTCCTGACCTCTGTGCAGGAACTCTTGCAGGGTCCATGTAGAAGACAAGGACACAACATAATCAGGAACCTCCTGTCCTCAAGGACAAGACACAGGAGCATCAGAAGCACCAGCTTCATCCCACCTGCTAAGAGAAGACTGAACTCCAGAGTTGCTGCTGGTGGCAATTTATGTGAAGCTTTCAGTAAAAATGTTCTTCTGAGATCATGTGGACACCGTGTCCCCACCTGCCCCCCGGTACAAGTGCTGCTGGTGATCCCTTAGAAGCATCTTTTTGTTTCTGAGGACACTCTGTGGCAGAAAAGACAACCCACCTGTTTAGTCGTCTTCTCGTTTTCTAATGTGATTAGAAGTTTTCCTGTGCTGTGAACCCCCCCCCCCGACTCGCCGCGCTCCGAGTTAACTTCACTTCCTGTTTGTTTCTTTTTGATAAACCTTCCCCACACACTTAGTGACCAGTGTGGTTTTTAGTTTCCATTTCAGAAAGTGACTCAGAGCTGAGGAGGTGTTTAGTGTAGAAACACCTCAGGCCAGTCGTCCTGCGAGTCAGTCGTTTATTTAAAATTCCTGTCTTAACCAGGACCATGGATGGAGGCAATGAGGTCGGAGAGGTGAAGGTGTCTCGTCTGCAGGTGGAGGAGGAGGATGAAACTCCACTTGAGCACCGGGTAAGCCTTCAGGTGAGTGTGTGGGTGTGTGTAAGGGTCTTGTTGGGCACCGTTTTGGTCGGTGTGAGTCAGCGGTTGGTGTTTCACCAACAGGAAGGAGACCTCTCACCCACTGCTGTTGTTTCAGGGCTCGGCTCTTTGCGACGCGCTACACTTCTCTGTCCACGATAAAGAACACAGCCCGATGATGAGAGCAGGTGAGCTCCTCCCTAATGACCTTCATGCTTCTGGGACTTCTCCCTCCTCACAACACACACCTGTGTGTGCAGTGTTGTGTTCCCAGGTGTGTAAGGTGTACCGGTTTGAGACGGAGGACCAGCGGCGGCTGCTGGTGCGGGAACAGATGTCGGAGACGCCGCTGTCCTTCTCTCTACCCAAACAGCTGCTGAGCGCGTTGATCCAGGAGCACGCCAGCAGGTCAGAAGCTCTCATGCTAAGACCCCACGAGTCGATTCAGAGTAATCAATCATCTGTTTCTCAGGGTGCAGCAGGTGAAAGAGCTCAGTGACCTCTCACCCCACTGGGATAGCCTACGTCATGATGTCGTCAGCTACTGCAACCATCTGATTGGCTGTTATCAGGAAACCCTGACAGAGCTGGAGAATCTGTCCAGTAAGGTCACAAGTAAGTCCAGTCACGGATCTGACAAACTTCCTGAACCGTTTTTCCTCCCAGCAGCTTCGCCGTGTTTCAAGTCCAGCGGGAGGAAATCCGACCGGCACCTTCAGTTCATTCCCACCAACCTTCACTCGCAGAGGATGGAGGTCACCGCTCCCGGGAGCTCCGGTAGGACCCAGCTGCTGCTCTTTCTCCCCCCTCCAACATCCAGGGGTTCATCCTCCTGCTGTGTCCAGGTGTTTGGTACCAGGTCATCACCTTTGGAGCTCCAGCTGATCACCACCAGGCCTTCAAGCACGGAGGATTGAAGAGACTTCTGAGCAAACACCAGAGACAGAGGTAGCCCCGGGCTACAAACCCCCACATGGTGGATTACAAGATAAATATTGTGTTTCAGTCTGTGGTGTGCCTGTCTCTCTCCATCCCTGCAGCTCAGTGTCCTACTCTCTGGAGGAGAGCTACAGAGCGAGGGAGCTGCTGGTCAGCGTCGCCCAGCTGCCGCCTCTGATTTTTGGGCAGGCTGAGGAGCTGCTCTCTGTCTCTGCGGAGAGGAACCCGGCCAGGCTGCAGGAGGTTCTGGACGGTCTGATGCAGGAGGTAAGACCCACGGCTGGCGCTCCGTTTACGGAACCGTCAGAACCAATCTGATGCAACTTCTCACTCTTTCTGATCCCAGACCAAACTGTTCATTCATGCTCTGAACGATGAGCTGGTTAGGAGCGCCCTGACTGCCGCCCACAGTCAGTGCGCCTCCGTCAGTGGTAGGCACGGCAGCGGGCTGCTCTGTGAGAATGCTTCGGCCAATCAGGAGGAGGCCAGGGAGTACGATGAGGAGGAGTGGGTAAGTGGGAGTGTGTGTGTAGCCTTCACTTGGATATCTAGTAGTTTGTTTTATACAGTGTGTGTGTGTGTGTGTGTGTGTGTGTGTGTGTGTGTGTGTGTGTGTGTGTGTGTGTGTGTGTGTGTGTGTGTGTGTGTAGGACAGGACGTGGGCTAACGTAGCTAAAAGTCTGGACTGCATCATGGCCATGGCCGACCGGCTGCAGGAGCGAGAGCACCTCCTGCGGGAGCGGTCATCTCCAGACCCACAGGAATCCACAGCAGACACAAAATCTCAGAACGCCGGTGGGACAGCATTTAATGCTTTTGTCACGTTTACTTGTTTTCGTCATTACTGACTCCTCCTCTTTCATCACCACCAGGCTCCTCCTCATCATCATCTTGGCAGGAGCAGCTGCTCCCCCTGGTGGTCACCCTCAGGGATTGCGTGCGCGAGGCAGTGTCGAAAGCTCGAGCCGCTATGACCTTTGTCGTCCTGCAGGGGGCGCTAACTGCGACGGTCGCTCAGGGGCCTGAACACATCGTCCAGAGGAGACACGCAGTCTTCAGTCAGGCGGTGAGACACGTCTCATCAGAGTAAAATCCTGCTATCGTCATGGTAACAACATGGCTGTCTGGTGTCACAGCTGTCTGCGGTTGTCTGTGGATTTATGCTGAAAGTCTACGGAGGTCTGGAGGACCCGGAGTTCCTGCAGCAGCTCCACTCTGTGGGAATTCTGGCTCAGTTTGAGGCTCTGCTGAGCACCTACGGTAGGTAGAGGGTGTAGACCCCACCCGTAGGCCCTCAGACCCCACCTAAGCTCTGACTGTGGCTCTCAGGGGAGGAGGAGGGGATGCTGGAGGACATGGAGGTGAGCGTGGCCGACCTGAGCCGGGTGGCGTTCACCATCACCGAGGCCAAATCTGAACAGCTGCACGACTTTCTGCCGACACTCCGGGGAACATGGTGGAAAGACTTACACACACACACACACACACACACACACACACACACACACACACACACACACACACACACACACACACACACACACACACACACACACACACACACACACACACACACTGGGAACGTCAGCACTGAGGATGTCCTCCATCCAGGGCCGGGTTCGTCGTGGAGGTGCCGTTACCGTCGGAGACCTTTGCTTCGCTGCCCCAGGAGCTGAAGGACGGGAGTTTGATACGAGTCGAGTCAGTTCTGTTCAACATCGGGATCAACCAGCATCAGAGTCTCGCTGAGAGGTACACACACACACACACACACACACACACACACACGGACAGACAGATACACACACTGATGTTTTGTATGGTTTGTTGTTGTTTCCAGGTTTGGAGACAGCTCCCTGCAGGAGAGAGTCAACCAGCAGAGCGGAGAGCGTCTTCGAGCCTACTGCCACTCGCTGAGAGACAAACTCCCTCACACGGGTAAGACCTGGGTTTGTCCCATCAACCGTGTTTGGATCAGAACCAGAACCTGAAGCAGTTTCTCTGACCCAGCTGGAGTCCAGTCGCTGTCAGACCTGTTGTCGGCTCTGGATCGCAGTCTGGAGGTCAAGAAGAGGAAGAACGTTGAGGTTCTCTGGATTGCTGGAACGGTGAGACGTTCTCTCACAAAAATATTCAGCGGAACTCGTTAACTGTTTCAGAGCAAGTCACCCCCCCTACCAGAGTCTTTATCCACTCCCACTTCCTGTTTGAAAAATTAAACAGATGCTGTTGCCTGGCAGACGGAGAGGGCGGAGCCACTAATACACACACAGACTCACAACTACCTTGTGACATCATAATGTACCAACTAACATCATACAGTACCTCTTAGCCAATAGCAATGACAGATTTAAATTCAAATGTAGTGCAGAGTTTTTACCTGAAGACGGCGCAACACTGACAGTTTTAGGCAGAATATTTCAATTTTAATTACGATGCACTAAAGTGCCAAATTATTGTCTACATGTGTCTACAGCCCGATTAGACACTCGTTTCTGTAGTTGATCAGCAAAAAAAGTTGATTTGGGGGTGACTTGCTCTTTAAGTTTTCCTCCAGGCTCTGATGGTAAATATAACATTTTCCTGCATTTAAGAAGATAATGCAGGAGATAGGTGTAGGAGACTATTTTCATGTTCACCCTGCACGAGAAACTCAGTGACTGATTATAATCAGAAATCATAAACCCAAATGTTTTTTCAGTGAACCACACCTTTAACACAAACCAGGAAAGTAAATCCTACAACATTAAAGCTCCTTTAACTTAGTTAAAAACACAATAATTGTTCTTTGGTTACGTGTTTGTCTGAGTTACAGTTATGTTGATGCAGGACGGTTTTAGTCATTTCTTTTAAAGGTGCAATATGCAAGAATAAAGTAAGAATTCTAAAGTGAAGTAATGCCCAAACAAGGGATGCTCTGAGCCGATCGTGTGTTTTTGAAAGGATCGAAATCGGGAGAAATAAATCGGATTTCACCTTTTTTTAAAAACAAACATGACTTTTTAATTTAATCCTGAGATAGAAATTTTCAAATGGAGCAAAATGGCTTAGTTTTAATTTCAATAAGTCCCTCTACATCAATAATATTTGTTTCTTGTACGAAAACAACACAATTTACGGCAGGCAAGGACTCGGACGCCAAGTGCCGCTGTTAGCAAGCCTGCCAACACAGAGCTAACGTGTCTCCTCATGAGAGCTAAAGTATCTGCAGCTTGGTGGTATTTTAAACCGGACAGCAAAGGCAGAGCTACAGACACATGTGCATACTGAGCATTCAACATGCTGGAAAGGACAGCTCCATGATTTGCTGCCTTCAAACAAGCTATACTTTCGCTGTCGGCGTTTCCCTTCGCACATCAACAAAGCAAATCACCGGTGTCGGTACAGGATCTGCTCGGGTGCAAGATCGGCTCGGGGTCTTTTGACTGCCGATGACGTCAAAGTACGGCAAACGCACTCGGACAAAATGCACTACTCATCTTTATACTGTTGGAAAGAATTTATCAGTTTCATTATTAAAGTAATGTTTATTAAGACGTAAGTTTGTGTTTATAATGCTATTTGTAAAATAAAACACTATATTGTATTCATGATGTTGAACTCCTCTTTGAGCACATCCCTTGAAGAATCATAGGTATTAGCAACACCTGTGAAATTGTATTTGCAGGAAAGAAGTGTGTCCCGTTTATTGAAGTATTTTGTGTTTAGAGTTTTTGACGTCTTGTCCATGCGTAGTTCAGTTACGCTCATAGCTGCTAGCCAAAACTCTGGAGTTAAAAGTTTTCTGGCTTTACTAAAATACCTGTCTGTACTTATTTGATTGATGGTAGTTTTACTTTCTATTAGACTCCAAATGTAATCATTTGGCACGTTTCTAATTCATAATTTGTAAGAATGTTATCGGTGATATTAGCATTAGCATTCCTACGGGTTTTTCCATGTATATTAGCATTGCGCTAACCACTCGCTGCCAAATTACAGCCTTTGCGATTAGAAAATCTCATTTTGTCACATCGCAATTTAATTGCACATGAAATTCATCGTTCAGCCCTAATATACATGCAGCTCTATGCTAAAAGTGTATTTTCAAAGAGGTAATGATGGATTTCTTTGTAAAAGTTGTCCATCTTTCCAATAGAAAACTTTGCCTGGACCAAAGCAATGTGATACCAACGTAATGTGATAACAACGTGATTATGTAACTTCTGTAAGGTTCATGTTCAGCCAATCAACTACTTTGACGTCATCAGCAGTCGAAGGACCCCAAGCCGGTCTTGCACCCGAGCAGATCCTGTACCAACACCGGTCTGCATTAATCCCCAGTCACAGTGAAGTCAGACAAAAACGTGGAGCCAGTCGACAGAGAAAGTTACGCTAATGAACAAAGAGAAATTACCAACAGACTGCCAAACATCGGGGTTTCTGTTCTCCTGCAGCACCGGAGCTGCGCGCTGGAGCTACAGGTGTTACCCTGCCTGCCGAAGGCTCCGCCTCCCTGCTCTGTCACGAGAACACAGCTCACAGCTGCATGTAGAGGGAGTAAACAAGTTGAAATAAGAGCAACGCTGCTACTTCTAAGTAAATTCACAATATAAACAAGTTTTTAATCGGGATACTTCCTACAAAAATGAAAGTGAAACTTAAAGGACAATTTGGATGTGCTTTCTTCTTATTTTAGTGCTTTTCTGAAAAGTGTCAGATCAGGACTCCGTACTGGCAGACTCAAATGACTCAGAATCGGATTGGGAGCAAAAAAAGAACGTGATTGGAACACCCCTAGCCAAAACAGTCTAATGTCTCGATCATGTTGGAAGGAATGTTATACTAAAACAGATTTCATTCTCTGGTAAGAAGCCTACAGGCTAACGTTGAGCTACCAATGCTAACGGAGGATTAGAAGCAAGTAGTTGGCTCAAAAATCCTCTTAAGCTACTTTTTCAATCACCAACAACTCAATTTAACTGGGAGATGTATTAAGTGAATAATTAGTCAACTGTGATGTTTTACTTCTTTTAACGAGTCGTTTAGAACTATAACAGCAAGACGGTAAACACAACGCTTCATTTAAAGCAAGCCGCACACAAGAGCAAACTGCTTCATTCACTTCAGCTTCACTTCAGCTACGGTCTCCAGGGGAGGTCCACTGCCTCCACCCCAATGGTCTCATTCCGCCGCAACCTCTGCAATCTGGCCCCCATCCATCACTGTATAACATACGAAAGATCAGACCATACCTAAAGCCGGGCGTACACTGTGCGAATTTTTCACTCGTAGCACTCAGCTTCAGCTCAAGCTGTACGACTTCCTCGCAGGGCAGATCTCACGAGTCATGTGCTCACACTGCACGACCCAGTTCTCGGATGCAATCTGACTGCTCACGCTGTACGTCTGGTAGCAACACGTCGGCCCTAAAAATGTGCTAAAAATAGCAGTTTTTACTCATCACGTCAGACTTTTTTGTCTTGTTTTGCCTGTTGTCCTTCGGGAGTGCTGCAGGAGGACACACAGGGATTCATGGGGGTTGGATGAGGAAAACGAAATAAAGAAAGTAAATCTGTGTTTTGTGATCAGTTTCATTTGACATGAACACGACAAACACGCTTTCTTGACAATCTTTGAGTAAAAAACGTGTAGGAATTAAAACGAACAACGTGTGTTATTAGGGAAATAGCGGGCGAGCGGTGTTGATGCAGGATTGCGCATGCGCCGTGAGCGGTTCTGATACTTTTTGGGTCGCAGCTGCTTGTAGCGCCGCTTCAACAGTGTGATACCCTCACGAGGGACGAGCAAAATATTAAACACGCCAGAAGTTTGTGCGAGCTCGCGATTGCTGATCGGTAGCTGGTCACGTGGTGTTAATCGCCTCTCGTAACCCCCTGCACACTACATGACCGCTCGGCGCAAAACTCGCCCCGATCTCGTGGATTCTCGCACGAGTGGAAAATCGGCTCAAAAAAGTGAAAAAGCCACAGTGTACGCCCGGCTTAACACAATATTCCGCCCAGCTCCTGGTGCAATCTACCATCATCTCCCACCTTGACTGCTGCAATACCCTTCTAACTGGTCTTCCAGTCTGTACTGTGAGACCTCTTCAAATGGTCCAGAATGCGGCAGTGCATCTGGTCTTCAATCAGCCCTAAAAGAGGATATGTCACCTCTCTGTTCATTGAGCTCCATTGGCTACTGCTAGCTGCACGCATCAAATTCAAACCCCTAACAGGTACATACAAAGTCCAGCTACTAGAGTCCTCTTGTAAAGGCCTACGTCACGGCTCGGCTGCTCCGGTCATCAAAGGGTCGTCGACTAGCAGTGCCTACACCACGCTCAGGACAATCCAGACTCTTTTCGTGTCGCTCCATGAACATGTGGAATGACCTACCAAGCACTACCAATTTAAGAAACTCCTGAAATTCCAGCTCTTCAGAGATCATCTTCTAAACTAGCACACGTGCCCCACTCTACTGCACACTCCATGTTCCCTTCCCTCTATGATTCATTATGCTACCTCACTGACATTGACTGATTAGTGTTTGTTGTTGGTCTCAAGGACAACCTGCTGGCTTCATTATCAATTGCAAGTCGCTTTGGACAAAAGCATCTGCTAAATGCATAAACATAAACATGCATCCTCGATACAATGGGTGGAGCAATAACACATCCGGGAACTTGGAGTGAACTTGCCATGATGCATACTTAGGACTGGAACAGTCCTTGGGCCATAGTTGATGATATTCTACAGGACGTGAGTACACAAGTACAGACAAGTATGCATATTGAGAAACGGCCCAATTCACCCCCTGCCAGAGTTTTACTCCACTCCCACTTCCTGTTTGAAAATTGCAACAAATGCTGCTGCCTGGCTGACCGAGACGGCTGGGCCGCTAACACATACACACACAGGCTCGCATTGTGACATCATAATGTACCCGCTAAAGTCATTGTGTACCTCTTAGCCAATAGCAATGGCAGATTTAAATTCAAATGCGGTGCAGAGTTTTTTTTACCTGAAGACAGTACAACACTGACAGTTTTAGGCAGAATTTTTCATTTTTAACTAAAATGCACTAAAGTGCCAAATTATTGTCTACATGTGTCTACAGCACGATTAGACACTAACTTATGTGCCACGAGTTGGTTCAGGAGGAAGTTAGGACCCAGGATGCAGAGAACCAGACGGACGAGGCAGGGGTGGAAGATGAAATAAAATCCTTTATTCAGGGATAATCCAAAGGCAGGGAGCCAAAAACCAAAAATCCAAAATGACTAAATCAGAGATCCAAAACACTAGAAGCTAGAGACACTAGAAGCACTGGAAACACTAGAGATCAAACGAGACGAGTCTGACAGAAACAATGGACCGACAAACACATAGAGACACAGACAGGGTTTTATACACTGGGGAGGATGAGAGGGAGATGAACTGCAGGTGTGTGGGGAGAGAGAGAGCAGGTGAACTCAATTACTAATCAGGGAGGAAACTAACATGACCTAAGAATAAAACCTAAAGACAAGAAGAGCAGGAAACATAACTAATAATCTAAGTGGGGAGAAAAACTACAAACACTGGTGGGAAAAACACACTAAAGAGACTAATAACATGAACAGCTGTAACTAAAGGAAAATGACCTAAGAGAAAAACTTAAAAACCAGAAGGGGCAGCAACCATAACTAATATTCTAAGGGAGAAGCTGAAACTAAAGGAAAACACTACATAAAGAAAAACTACAGGGGTGTGACTAAAAGGGGGCCAAGGGAGCACAGGACCTAGGAGGGGGATGCCTGTGGAGGGAAACCTAGAGGGCTGAAGATCTGGGGAAAAATGGGGGACACAAGGAGACACAAGAGGAAGACGCAGACAAGGGCACGTGAAGGCGCTAGGAGACACAAAAGGAGAATCTAGAGAGGGATTGAGAACATAAGGAGACACATGAGGGGAGACGCAGACTCAGACCATGACATTATGTAGTTTCAGCAAATAAAATAACGGAAGTGTGTGTGTGTGTGTGTGTGTGTGTGTGTGTGTGTGTGTGTGTGTGTGTGTGTGTGTGTGTGTGTGTGTGTGTGTGTGTGTGTGTGTGTGTGTGTTCTCAGATGTGTCATAAGGTCAACGGCATTCGTCTAACAAGCTGTAAGAGTGCAAAGGACCGTACGGCAATGTCTGTGACGCTGGAGCAGTGTTTAATCCTACGAGAGCAACACACACTCAGCCAGAAGCACTTCAGCATGGCTTTGGACTGCATGAGGAGGTGTGTGTGTGTGTGTGTGTGTGTGTGTGTGTGTGTGTGTGTGTGTGTGTGTGTGTGTGTGTGTGTGTGTGTGTGTGTGTGTGTGTGTGTGTGTGTGTGTGTGTGTGTGTGTGTGTGTGTGTGTGTGTGTGTGTGTTTTTGTTGTCTTTCAGCCTTTTTTATCTCTTTGTTTTCTCATTTTAATCTTTTTGTTTTTCGTCATAATTTTCTTTTATTTCTCTGTCTCTTTTCTTTGTCCTCTTTCTCTCTTACACACACACATGCTCACACACACATGCTCACTCTCTCACACACACTCGTCCTCCTCCAGATCCCGTCTGTCCTGGGGCCAGATGTTGGGCTGTTATGCCCACTCAGGATTCACTATCTCTGGGTTAGACCCTGACGAGCCCCCCTCAGGCCTCCAGAGCACCTGGCTACCTCACTGTTTGGCCTCCAGGCAGCACTTTTACCCGGTGGCCTTCCTCTTGGTGACCTCTCACCTCCTGGTTCTTTGGCTAATCCTCAGCTTGGTGATCCTGCTGGCTAAATATCAGTAACACAGCACGGGAACACTAAGATGGACAGCTGAGCTAGAATGTGTTGCTTCTCCTTTTTTCTTCTCTCGTCTTCTTCCTGGTTTCGGGTCCATCACCACCAGATAAAGCTGTAGGATCTGTTTCTGTCATCTTCATGTCTGCAGAGACGGCTGCAGGATGGAGAACGTCCAGAAGAACATCGGCAGCAGGAAGTTCGCCTTCAGCAGCGTTCAGCTCCTGACCTTCCCTAAACTCTACAGACCTCCGGACGGCACCTATGGCTGAACTGCTCTGTGTGTTTGATTGTGTGAAGTGTGTGTTTTATACATGTGTATAAATTAAATTATTTTGATTGTAACTGGATCATCTGTGTTCTTCTAAATGCTGCTAAGTTGTTAAAGTTTCTATTTATAGGAAAAAGTCCTCGTCGCCTCCTTTTATATGGATGTTGGGGCTGGCGGTTCTGACCCAGAAACCAGCATCCCCAGCTCGCTAGGAATTTTTAAAAGCTCCCCATCCACTTCTGGAGCTCATAGACCTCCCTGATCTAGCTCAGATGCTGATCAGAGCTCTAGGAGCCGGCAAGTATTTTTCAAAACACCACCACAGGGCTCTGGAGGATAAGGAGGCATGTTGAACTCCCATCACATCACTGGAGTTGTAATCCTCCGGTCTGTGCACACCACAAAACTCACCAGGAATGGAAGATGGTGCTGCTCATTCTCTAAACCCGTGGACTCGACGGCCGGACCTGCTGGAGTTTGTACATCCCTACACAATAATTTACCATTTTTTAAGAAAAATTAACGCATTCCAAAACTAGTGAACACACACGCTGACTCGATGACATGACCTATTTATCCGAAAACGACCTACTCGCCACACTAAGCTTCAGGCAGGACTAGCTTATAACTGTTCTCGTTACGTCAGAGCGTTTTTAGAAGCTTTGCTGAAAAAAGGGCCACTTTTTACTCAAAATGAGGGGCTATTGTAAAACAAAATACCCACAATAAGTGTTTCAAATAGTATTTTTAGACAGCATTTTATGTGAAATAAAAACAAAATTTAACCAGCATTTTATTTAAAGGGGCATTATGGAAGTTTAACAGCCAAAACATGTATAGAAATAATAAATGTCTTCTTCATACATTCTCCTGCAATGCCCTGGTCCTGTAGAATAAGCCCTGGCATTTTTACTGTGATTGCCGGTTTTTCTGTAAAATCACAGTAAAAGAGAGATGCTCGGGTCGAGCAGGCTGCTTCATGCGCGTTCACGCTAAGCCATAGCCCGTAGCATTTGCTATCCGTAGCTTTAGCAGCAGAGAGTGAGGCAGTGCCACTTTGTCGCTGTTCCTAACGCCTAGTGACAAAGCTAGCTACATTTCAGAGGACCCTTTTCTGTAGAACTTTCTTCCAGACATTTCCTGCAAATTAGCAACAAAATAGCCATTTTCGCTCCGAACCGTTCTTTGAATGTTGTTTCAGCTGTCATCAAGGATATAAGTGTTACAGATACAAAAGATGTCATTGGCGCTTTAGCTCACTTAGATTGATGTCGTACTTGTGTGCAGAAGACCTGGGTTCAATACTGGATGTGAACATGGTTTATTTAGAATTTCTTTTTTACATTAATGGTATATTTTTTGACAGTAAGATGCCCAAATTATGAGACTCGCCGAACGGCATTGAATTCACAGATAAAAAAGATGTGGGTTCAAATTTCATTTTGGAACAATTTTTCAAGCAAGGGAAGGGCATGATCTGAGCATGCAGGAGGACTGACCCATCATAAACCTTTGTCGGCTGTGCTGAAGAGAAAGATACAGAACCAAATTATTTAATTAATTAGCTGCATGTTCTCCTGTCCTCTGGGCCACACACACACACACAAGGGACTGTCTCAGCTGTTATTTTTGTTAAGGAGTGTGCACGTACAGCATGCGCGCCTCGTGCACGAGCCTACTATTGAAGCTGCCATTATGCTTTTGGCCTGAGGGGGCAATCGCGAGCATAAAAATTCAAAACTCCGTAAAGTCCCTTTAAAGTGGGTTAGAGCACGCAAATTTAAATCTGTGTGTGTCTAAACTTATGACGTGATAAACTCCTTCGCCTGTATAAAGGACATAAATGAAAGACCGTTACCACCTTACTGTCACAACAAAGAACCCAGAACTTGTTCAATAAAAATGCTGTTTAATTTTAAAGCAACATGAATTAGCCTAAAAGAAATCATCAAAACTTAAGTTACTGAAAATTTGTGTTTTCATTACAGCCTTCATTAAATACTTTATTCGGTAAACATAGAATTAAGGAAACAGTGAAAACAAAAGAGCATTGGCACTAATCTTGTGCAGTACTTATATTGTCCACCAGGAGGCAGAAATACAGAATTCAGCTGAGAGGTTTGAGGAATGTACTAATGCTGTTAGAGAGACAGAGGCGTAAGAAAAACAAGACTGTGTACCAGCTGTGACGTATTTAGCTTTAAATGGTTAAGGACCAAAAAACTCAAACCACAAAATCAGCTGTGACCATATTTAGTTATGAATATTCATGTTTATAAATTCAATCATCCACTCAGAATATGACCTTTTAAAGGACGGCTGTTGACAGTTGTGCTGATTAGTCTCCATCTGAATATTATTTAGTGAAGCAGATCAGTGAAAATAAAAGTCCTCCTGAGCAGCGGCAGCCTCCATGTCTGAGCACAAACAGGAAGCTGCTGACTTGAGTTTATTTTAGTCTGATGAACTCAGCTGAGTCTCCAAACCCATAGAAGCGGACTCCAGCGTGTAGCGGTTGAGTGAACGTGGTCTGGACTCTGTGGAGGAGAGTCATGGTTTCAGAGATGCTGTAGAAACACAGAATTCCTGCTCCGTGATCCAGATACACTCCGATTTTAAAGGTTAAAACGCCTAAAATGGGAGTTTCGAGCTTGTTGTGCCAGAATGAGTGTAGATCATGTGTAAAACAGTCCAACGCCCAGGATTTATCATTGAAACCAAATCTGCACTCATCAGAGTGCCCGTCTCTTCTGATGTTCTGGTACGAGACCACGATACGCACCTCTTCTCCTGCTCTTATCTCCACCTCCCAGTAACAACGTCCAGTCAGACTCTCTCTGCTCAGAACCTGATCATAGTAAGAAAATCTGTCTGGATGATCAGAATTAATCTGATCTTCTTCCATTAACGTAGCTTTTCTGTTCCCATCAGATAACAGCAGCCTTCTGTGAGCCGAGTTTGGATCCAGAGTGATTTCTCGTGAATATTCCAGGAAGTCTGCTCTGGTCTTTGGTTCTGGTTCTGGCAGTAGACCACCCACTGCAGTCCCTCTCAGTGAGACGTTTGTCCCTCTGTCCCTCAGCACGTCCTGTAGAACGTCTCTGAGCTCTGACACAGCTGCTGTCACGTCCTCAAAGTGTCTCCGAGGACGAACCCTGATACTGGATGAGTGTGGAGACCCACTGAGTGCTGACACTGAGGGGTAGTTGTGTAGAAACTGCTTGTGATCCTCTGTGTGTGAGAGCTGCTCCAGCTCGGCGTCTTTCCTCGTCAGCTCAGTGATCTCCTGCTCCAGCTTCTCCTGAAGCTCTTTGACTCGCCTCACTTCAGTTTCCTGCTGGGATCTGACCTGCTGCTTCACATCAGAGCTTCTTTCCTGCATCAGACGGATCAGCTGAGCGAAGATCTCCTCACTGTCCTCCACTGTTTTATCAGCAGAGACATTGATGTCCTCCACCTCCTGCTGAAGCAGCTCCACGTCTTTCTGTCGCTCCTGGATTCTCTGCTGGATTTGTTGTCTCCTCACCAGAACAGGTCTGGGTCTGAAGGTCTGACTACACTGAGGACAACTGTAGATCCTCCTCTGATCTTCTCCATCCCAGTGAGTTTTAACACAGCTCATGCAGTAGCTGTGTCCACAGGGAATGGTCACCGGATCCTTCAGCAAATCCACACAGATAGAACAGGAAACAGGTTCCTGATCCAGCTTATTTCCTTTTTGTGCCATTTCTCCTCTCAGCAACAACAACTGAACTTTACTGTCTTGAGTCTGAAACTTTAAGTCGTGTTGCTGTGATAAAAGTCTGTGGGCACCCCCCACCCTCCCAGGACAGGAAACACATGGACAAGTTGCACAACAGGAGGAAGTAGGAGGAGACATTTTTCCAGGAACCTGGTGAAACAGTCATGTGTGTTTAACCCTTTCTGTTCCGGCTGTCCTTTAAAAGTTCATCAGCTTAATATACAAAATCTCAATATTAAATTAAACCTAAGTATAAGAAGTTGAATCTGAGTCATTTGAATTATTGAAACATAAAATTATACATAAATGTCAAAGAAGAAAAGTCAGTGTGGTTTTGACTCAATATTTAGACCTTAGGCAAATTCCAGCATTCACAAAATAAAAGTAGTGTCACAAGTTGGTGTAGGAGGATGTTTGTTTGGACCCAAGATGCAGAAAACCAGATGAACGAGGCAGGAGGTGGATGATGAAAATAAAATCCTTTATTTAGTAGTCCAAGGGGCAGGGAGCCAAAACCAAAAATCCAAATATCTAAACTGAGTAATCAAAAACACTAGAGACCTAGAAACACTGGAATCACGAGAAGTTAGGAACAGGAACGAGAGGAGACTGACGCGAACAATGGACCGACAAAACACTGTAACACAGACAGGGTTTTATACACTGGGGAGGATGAGAGGGAGATGAACTGCAGGTGTGTGGGGAGAGAGAGAGCAGGTGAACTCAATTACTAATCAAGGAGGAAACTAACATGACCTGAGAATAAAACCTAAAGACAAGAAGAGCAGGAAACATAACTAATAATCTAAGGAGGGACCTCAAACACTGATGGAAAAAACACACTAGACTAATAACACGAACAGCTGTAGCTAAAGGAAAATGACCTGAGAGAAAAACCTAAAGACCAGAAGGGCAGCAACCATAACTAATATTCTAAGGGGGAAGCTGAAACTAAAGGAAAACACTACAGAAAGAAAATCTACAGGGGCGTGACTAAAAGGGGGCCACAGGAGCACAGAACCTGGGAGGGAGAAACCTAGAGGGCTGAAGATCTGGGGGCAAATCGGGAACACCAGGAGACACATGAGGAAGACGCAGACAAGGACACGTGAGGGCGCTAGGAGACACAAAAGGAGAACCTAGAGAGGGATGGAGAACACAAGGAGACACATGAGGGGAGATGCAGACTCAGACCATGACAAGTAGTCCACGGTCCAGCATAAGGATGAGGATATCTGCAGCATAACGGTTTAATCGTGGATCATAAATGAACGATCCACCCTGAATTGTCCTCTGTGTTCTCGCCGTGAGATCTAAACCTTTTATTGTTTGGTGATGTTACAGCACCCAGAATTAACCATTTTGCTAATTTTTAGTGGAAATTTGAAGCGTAGGGACCCTAATGCCAAAAAAATAAAAAAATAAATGAATGGGAGTCGATGAGCGGATATAAAAGTTATTTACTGATCCGGTGTGATACGTGCCATGGATTTCATCCATGGTGTCTGTGAATTTTAATGACAAATTCTGATGCCAAGAAAAGCACAGCAGCTGTGAAAAGACATGTAGGACTACAACTGTTCGACTCGTCAAATTTACATCATCAAACCAAACACGGAGAAAAGGAGAAGCTTGGTTTGGCGCGCTTCCAATCCTTCTTCCAGGACGACAGAGGGAGCATCATTTCAATTCAATTCAGTTTATTCATGTAGCGCCAAGTCACGACAAGAGTCGTCTCAAGGCACTTCACATAGTAAACGTTCCAATACAGGTCAGTTCATTAAGCCAATCAGTAAAAAGTTTCCTATATAAGGAACCCAGCAGGTTGCATCGAGTCACTGACTTGTGACTTAAACATGGAGAACGCCACCACCATAAATCTGACCATGTGGTAAGTAGCAGCTACGCTGGGGGAGAGGAGATTCTGCAGTGACATCATGTATGCAACGTCTGATTTGTTATCGTTTTAGTAAAAAATGTTTACGAGGTTATGAATCTGAAATTACATGACATACATCATCAAAACACATTTCTGATGTAAAAATAACTCGGTACGTTTTTACTTATATGAACTCGGCTGTGGATCCATGGTAAAAACTTCAAACCCCAGCGTGTAGCGGCTGAGTGAACGTGGTCTGGACTCTGTGGAGGAGAGTCGTGGTGTCAGAGACGCTGCAGAAACACAGAATTCCTGCTCCGTGATCCAGATACACTCCGATCCTGGAGGAACCAGGACCTGAGACCGGAGTTTCAACGCTGTTGTGATGTGTTCAGTCCTAACAGGTCAAACAGCAACAAAGACTTGTTCTTGTTCCAGAAGATTTCCTTGTTGCACCGTCTCAGCGTTCAGTGATAAATGAGTCTGAGCTCAGCAGTAAACAAATGATGTCTGCAGGGATCGTCAGCTCTTGTACTCGGTCTCACATTAGTTAGACGTGTAATCAGGTTTGTATTAATGAGGAGGAAACAGGGAAATAAGTTTCCAGCTTTCTGTTTTTCATTAGTTACTGATGCGCTGGGAGTAACAGTGTTTAAAGAGCAAGTCACCCCCCCCTCCCCCCATTGGACTTCAGTGATTCAAGCACACATCTCATGTTTGGAGCGCATGCTGTCCACTGAAGTGGACATGTCACAAATTATTGGTTAATTTAATGTTTTTATAAAATGTTGTAGAATTTTTTTTTCATTCATACCTCACAATGAATGAAAAAAAAAAGTGCTGGTTGAAGATTTCAAAATTTGTGCATGAAAGGATTGTTCTTTTCCTGGTGTCTGGTCAGGTCCCTGCTTACTTTACAAATCTCGACCCTTCTCTCCATAGCGGCTTCAGACCCATCTCTAAACTATAGTTCATTTCCAAGATGTTGGAAAAGGTTGCGGCTAAACAACTCACAGCTAGTGATGTCCAAATGAAGTCTTATGAAGCGGTGAGGCTTTCCAGCCAACTGCATCACCAAAGGTAAATTTACTTCACCTTCTACGGCGACATCTACTGGTGGAGTGGAAACCGGACAGCCAAGTCATCCTGACAGACATGCCAAACCTGCATGGTAAATAAGCGGATCCTGTGCTTTATGACTCTGCTGTCCTTTGTTGTTGTGTAATGTTTTGGAAGTGTTTACCTGTAATAAACTGTCAATAAAAGAAGAAGAAGAAGAAGAAGAAGAAGAAGTCTTTTCTATAGCGCCTCTCAAGATAAAAATCACGAGGCGCTTCACAAAAACAAAACAGTGTAAAAATATAAAAAAGAATTTAGAAAATGGTTAAAAATATATTTAAAATTAGTAAAAAAATAGACAATTGTGATTAAAAATGTTAAGAAAGAGAGAGAGTGAAAAGGAAATAGGGAAATCAGTGGATCCACAGGAAGGTGGAATAGGTGGGGAGAGCAGAATAAAGAGAGAGTGGATGAAGAAGGTCATACAAAAGCCAGCTTGAACAAGTGAATCTTCAGCTGCTTTTTAAAGGAGACCACTGAGTCCACTGATCTCAGGCTCGGGGGGAGAGAGTTCCAGAGTCTGGGGGCCACAGCAGCAAATGATCTGTCACCTTTGGTCTTTAGCCTGGTGCTGCACAACCAGTAGGCTTTGATCACTGGACCTCAGGGACCTGCTGGGGGTGTAGGGACTAAGAAGATCACCAATGTAAGATGGTGCTTGCAGTCTGGTGACACCAGTCTGGACAAAATATAAAGGTATTCTATTAAATGTAATATTCCATAAAAATATGGATTATTAATATTGTTGAACCTTTAATATTCGATTGGTGATGAAACCAGGTAATTTGGGTACACCAGGGAACCAACAATAATTTGACACAGAGGCGAAAATATAGTTTGTAATGATCAATTTATTACTATATTTCTACAACTGATGATTATACAGGATGAATGATTATAAATGGTGATTTAAGGTAATAAAAAGTGAGACAATAATCAAACTTTAATGAAACGTGATCTTAGATGTTATTAAAAGTCTAATTAAGTATCTTAGAGAGGATGTGATGTCTGGATTTATACAATAATCTGGCTGAATTTAGGTGTGTTTAATTGATTATCCAATTAAGATGAACCCATCCAACCCCAGTGCAGAGTTACGGTACCCGTGTGATGAGGCTTCTCAGTGATCCAGCTGGCCACACATCTCCTTGGCAAGCGAGTTGGACTTCTGGATATCAAAGGCCGTGTTCCTCTGAGTCCGCATCAGCTGGTCAAGATTAAAGTGAGGTGACTGCTGGAATCTGGCAGGTCGTCTCACATCTGATGAGTTGTTTTGCAGATTAAGCAAATAAATTAGTTTGGTTCTGAAAAAGGATGGTTCTTGCAGCTAAACGTAAGGCCTGGTCTGATCTTCCAACGGGAGACTCCTTTAGCATGAAGGCTGGACATCTTGCTTGCACTTAAGTTTCAGCTCTGTTTGTATTCTCTTATAGGTCATTTTTTTCTAAGCTTTGGACCAATCAAATGCCAGGATTATAGTGGGCGTTACCAAGAGTCCCCTGACGTCGCCATTTTCTCAGAAACTTAGAAAAGGCTTATTTCACTCACTGTGTGAAGTAAATATGACATAACAGTCATGTTATTAATATGTGACATAACTGATAATAAATCATTATTAAATCATCAAGTAGACTCATTTGATGTGTTTAAGATATGTAACAATGCATTTCAACAATAAACATTTATGCTGATCCATTCATTATTAAATCACGTTAGATAAAGAAAATTCTTCTTCGTCTTCGTCTTCGTCTTCCTCCGCTTATCCGGGTCCGGGTCGCGGGGGCAGCATCCCAATTAGGGAGCTCCAGGCCGTCCTCTCCCCGGCCTTGTCCACCAGCTCCTCCGGCAGGACCCCAAGGCGTTCCCGGACCAGATTGGAGATGTAACCTCTCCAACGTGTCCTGGGTCGACCCGGGGGCCTTCTGCCGGCAGGACATGCCCGAAACACCTCCCCGGGGAGGCGTCCAGGAGGCATCCTGACCAGATGCCCAAACCACCTCAACTGGCTCCTTTCGATCCGGAGGAGCAGCGGTTCTACTCCGAGTCCCTCCCGAATGTCCGAGCTCCTCACCCTATCTCTAAGGCTGAGCCCGGCCACCCTACGGAGGAAACTCATTTCGGCCGCTTGTATCCGCGATCTCGTTCTTTCGGTCATTACCCATAAAGAAAATTCATTGTATAAAATAGGGCATGGTTGTAATTAACATGTAAAGCGAGGAATTCATTATATGAGACCAAATAAGACTCTTTTATTAAAGTTAAGAGAAAAGTCTCGTCTTCTTGGAGTCTTCTCTTGTGACACATAAGGAAGTCAGGAGATGGAATTCTTTCATGGCTTCCCTCTCAGAGGCGAGGCTAGGTATGGGAAAGCACCCCGATGAAGCTGGCTGCACAGGTCAGCGTCTGGTGACCTCTGACATTGCGAGGCCTGTCCTAAGCTACAGTTGTTATTAACGATTCTCACCACCTGCTGACCCTTTGTAGCTAATTATAGCTTCTGCTTATGTTCACAACACGTAGGTCGCTCATTCGTTCAAGGAAATGTTTTTAGTTTTAAGATCGGGGGTCAGACTAAACACATTATGTGAGGTGTCAGCGTTTCACATTTTACGGCTATTTTTGGAGTGCATGTCCAACACTGAAGTTTTAGATCACTTTCCGGGATGTTGAAGCTCCCGAAAGCGAAACCCAACCGCCGCACGCTCTACCAACCAACCGGAAGAGCCTCGTTCCTTGACAGAGATTGGAAAACTCAACTCCATTAAACTTCTGCCTCTAAAATGGTGCCTGATGGTCAGTAGACTTCTACCGCCTCATCATTTTCAGTTAGAAAAACAAGAACAGACCAAAACTTTCTAGTCCTTCTCAACAACATCAAATAACACTAATGATACAAAAAGTCAAGATGACAAACGAATGCCACTAACACTACCATCACTAATTATAAAGCTATTTTTTCTACAAGCTCAACCGTCTGAAACTCTTCTAGACACATGGACCAAACTAAATGGTAAATGGCCTGTATTTGTAGAGTGCCTTCTTAGGCTTCTAGAACCCCCCAAGGCGCTTCACATCCCAATCATTCATCCACCCATTCACACGTCGGTGGGGATGAGCTATGATGTAGCCACAGCTGCCCTGGGGCTGACCGATGAAAGGCTGCAGAACACTGGCACCACCGGTCCCTCTGACCACAACCAGCAGGCAAGGGGGGTTAAGTTCTCGCTCAAGAACACAACAGCAGCATTCTCTGGTGGAAGCCAGGTTTGAACCTGCAACCTTCTGATTACTATACGACCTGCTCTACATCCTGAGCTACTTACTGTACAGTAGCTACTAAAACCCCCCACAAATTATTGTGAGTTTTTTGTGAGCTTTTATTTTGAAAAGTGACACTGTAAATGAACAGTCATGTGATCCATGACCTCGTTTGTCAAGCAAGCTTCAAAGTGGAGATTCATGTATGCACCCCCTTCCTGCTCAGTACAAGCCATAAAGCCTCACTTCTTTTTTCTCATCACAGCTCACAGCTGCTCTTGATGAACATAACACATATGATCATTTCCAGTCAGGTTTCCGTAGAGCTCACTCTGAAACAGCTCTTCTTAGGGTCTCTAATGACCTTCTGACTCAGTGAAGCAGGGGACCGTTCTGTTCTGGTCCTGCTGGACCTGACTGCAGCCTTTGACACTGTTGACCATCACCTGCTACTGGAGAGGCTGAGAGACTGGGTAGGCCTCTCAGGATCTGCTCTGGAGTGGTTCTCCTCATATCTGTCTGAGTGTTCCTTCTCTGTTGCCATCTGCAAGTTTCAGTCCTTCTCCACCTCCATCACCCATGGTGTCCCACAAGGTTCTGTGCTGGGGCCTCTGCTGTGTTTTGTAATTGGGTAAACCTTCCTCAGTAGAAAAAGATTCACTGGGGATGAATGGAAATCCATAAATTTTAATTACAAAGACGTGGACAAAATTATTGGTGCCCTTCGGTCAATGATACTAACAGAATCGGTGACAAAGGGCAGCCACTGATCATACAGGGACCTAACAGCCCATATCAGAGGGCCTGGTACCCCATACTCCTGAAGTACCCCCCACAGGGGCACCTGAGGGATGCGGTCAAAGGCCTTCTACAAATCCACATGTAGATTGGTTGGGCAAACTCCCACGCACCCTCCAGGAACCCTTTAGGGTATAGAGCTGGTCCAGTGTTCCACGGCCAGGATGAAAACCATTTGCCCCTCCTGAATCAGAGGTTCAACTTTCCGACAGACCCTCCTCTCCAGAACCTCTAAATAGACCTTACCAGGGAGGCTCAGGAGTGTGATCCCTCTACAGTTGGAACACACCCTGTGGTCCCACACTTTTTTATTTTCTCATTTTTATAATCATTTTTAATCAAGTAAATCATTTTTTTATTGTTCCTGTGAAGCTCATGATTTTTATCTATAAAAGACTATTTCGTCTTCTTAATCTAACTGCTGAAATGTCTCCCCAGTCATCATTAGTGTCTACAAGAGTGGTTCATAATTAAATGAAACAAATCAGCTGTGTTCATGATCTAAAACAAGCATGAAATGTGCTGGAACCTGACTGCAGCACCAGGCATGTCAGCTCAATATTTTTCTAAGGCCCTGTCCATACGTAGCCGGGGATCTGCCAAAACGTAGATATTTTTCTACGTTTTGGCCTGTCATCCACACGAAAACGGAGTTTTTTCACACGAAAATGGATCTTTTTAAAAACTCCGGCCAAAGTGAAGATCTGCGTTTTCTCCATTTTGGGTGTCTGCGTGTGGACAGACAAAACCGGAGTTTTAAGGTCCGCAACGTCACTTTCCGCGACAAAAAAATGCTGACATCACGTGTGTGACCTGTGTTTACACTAGCCGACAGCATGGAAGCCCTCAGAGCTGCGCTCGCTTTATCAATTGTCCAAGCGCTTTTTGCTTGTTTGTTTTTGCAAGCGGAATTACTGCTCCTTGTGGAAGACCACAGACGAAGGACGAGGTTAAGAACGGGGGAAACACTGCCGCCTACAGGTCTGGCATGTCCTTAACAATGTACGTGTGGACAGAGTTTTTTTTTAAACGAGGTGGTGTGGATGCAAGTTTTTGGAGGGGCGGATATTCGTTTTAAAAAAAAAAAAACGGCTACGTGTGGACTAGGCCTATGTGAAACAGGTGTTGCACTGGCACTCTGAAGTTGCAAATGCCTGCAATTTTCTGGCCGCAGACAGGAGTGGGGTTTGAGTAATCCTGTAAATGTCACGATGCAGTGTAGATGGTGGTGGACCCATGTGTGGTGGAGCTGGACCAGGAGGCAGAAATGCCAGATCAGGTTAAAAAAATAAATAAATAAAAAATGAATAAAAGATTTAATGAACAATGGCGGGTAGGATAATACAACAGGAGCAACGTAACAGGGTGAAAACACAATCATCTGACAAAGGACAAGTGAAAAACAGGGGGTATGAATACACAAGGATGATCAGAAACACATGGGTAGGATAAGGGGCAGGTGAGTCCAGTAAACAACTAATTAGGGTTAAACGAGACCGAGAGTCGGAGGGGTTGGAGCAGATCCCGACAGTGAAGGGTCATTTTAGCACACAGTGGCTCAAGAAAAGTATTTTAAAATGTGAAAAAAAAAGTCGTAGGTTTTTCTTTCATTAACCAAGGGTACCAACAATTTTGTCCACATCTGTAGAAAACCTCACCAAAAAGCTCAAGCTAAAACCCCGTTTCTTTTACTTGAATGCATTATGCCAACCTGGTTATTCAGCCCTGCTCCCCACGGGAGTGACACCACAGACTTCACAGGCCGCCCTGCCACGCCCACTATCGCATTCCTGAGTAGGCTGACACACACACACACACACACACACACACACACACACACACACACACACACACGCACACACGCACACGCACACGCACACACACACTTTTGTCCATATTAGAAATTGAGCATAAAATGAACGCCACCGCAGCTTGAGGTTATGATGTCATCAATAGGCTAATTGGCATGAAACATCATTGGTGACTTTCTGAGTTCAGCACAGCTTCTTTCTGTAACAGTCTGGGACATTAGACTGAGTTTTGGTCAAGAATGAACTATTATGACTTTAATAAGCCATAATTATTATTTAATGCATGTTTTGCCATATTAACAGGATACAGTACAAATATGGCACACATCTGAATTTGCATGACTAGTGGAGGGGTGGAGGCTACTAAAAACATGCTGCTGTCCTTAAATATTATATAAAAAAATGTCTGACAATAAAAATGTTCACAGAAAATCTTATTGCTTTCTAAATGCTTTTGACATGAAGTATTTTGGTTCATTTAACAGTAAATAAGAAAAATGAGTAAAATGACAAATGAAGGCTTTCACTTCTTGTTGTGATAGTGACCTAAAACCGTTTTTCACAAGGAATCTAAGGTGGTCTTCTCAGGCACGTTACAAATCTTACCTTACCTCTCAACAAACACCAGGTCTGCTCACCTGGAGGGGGCGGGGCTTTAGCAGCACAGCAAACCATTCCCTCATGAGCACCACCCATATTATTTAGTTTTACACCTGGGAACCCGTGCGATCTCTGCCTCGATGCGCTTCTTCTAACAATCTTTAGAAGCTGACAATGAATAAGGAGGACAAAGGAAGCCCAATGGAGACAGAGGAGCCAGGCAAAGACCAGGGAGAGGAGGAAGAGGAGGAGGAGGAAGAGGAAGAGGAAGAGGGAGAAAATGCCAAAGGTCTTGAATTGCTCCTTAAAAAACTCAAGTCAGACAAACCTGCTGTGCCAATGGACAGCAACCTCTCTCTGTCAAGGTAAATGATCACAGTGGAGAGTAACTGGTAGTTTCATTCGCTCGCACTCATTGCTCAGGCGAGTTCCAGGTAAGGTGTCATATTTCGGGGAAACAGGTGCCTGCTCAAGTCGAGCCCACACAAGTCTGCTCTGGCTCTGAACTAATCCAGGAACTCAGTCACAACTCCTTTACATTTCAGGCCTGAGAGCGACGGGGAGGACAGCTCGGAGTTCACCAGAGAGCGCGTCTTTAAAGCGGCCTCTCAGGGGAACAAATCGGAGCTGATCGGCCTGCTCGACTTCCTGCTGGCTAATCATAAACAACTTACAAGCTCAGATTTCATAGGCGAGTGTGTTTGTCCAACATCACAACAGATTTATGATTAACTCAATTAGAGCAATCATTAAAAAAAAATGTTATTTCAGATGAAACAAATGGGAAAACTGCCCTCCTGAAAGCGTTGCTGAACATAAAAGATGGCAAAAACGAGGCTGTTGAGGTCCTCCTGGACATAGCGGACAAAACTGGGGATTTAAAAGAGCTGATCAACTCGTCTTATACTGATCCGTGTTATAAAGGTGAGCAGATAAACAGTTAATCATAGAAGTGTCATGATTTCAAAGGGGACGAGTGTTTTACTTAACAGGAAGTGTTGTTTTGGTGTAAATAAGCACAACAGACCTGATGATCAGACTTCACGTGCAAACCTCAGGTCAGACGGCCTTGCACATCGCCATAGAGAGGCGGAGCTTCGAGTACGTGAAGCTGCTGGTCCAGAAAGGTGCAGATGTGCAGGCAAAAGCCAACGGCTCGTTTTTCCAGCATGGATCAAAACGGGGCTTTTATTTTGGTGGGTGAATTCACACAAAGGTGTTTCTTTTCTGTCCCGCTTGTTGATTCAATCAAAGATGCATGTGTTTCCTGAAGGCGAGCTTCCTCTTTCACTGGCTGCCTGCACCAACCAGCTAGAGACCGTGTGCTTCCTGATGGAAAACCCTCACAGGAACGCCGACGTGACGGACAGAGACTCGCAAGGAAACACCGTCCTGCACACTCTGGTGATCATAGCAGACAGCAAGGCAGAAAACACAGAAATGGCTGCAAAGATTTACGACGAAATCCTGATTCGGCACTTTAAGCTCCAGAAACACACGGGTGTTCAGCTGGAACTGATTGAAAACCATCAAGGGCTGACTCCTCTGAAACTGGCTGCCAAGCTCGGCAAGATTGGAGTGAGTCCGACACATATTCAGAGATCTGCTTCACGAAGGGGTTTGTGTGTATGCAAATATCTGCCTTTCTTTTCGACCAGATGTTCAGACACATGTTGACTCGTGAGTTCATGGATGAAGAGGCCAGGCCGCTGTCCAGGAAGTTCACAGAATGGGTCTACGGTCCGGTTCACTCCTCGCTATATGACATGAGTTCCATCGACACGGACGAAAACAACTCTGTCTTAGAGATCATCGTCTTTGGGAGTCAAATACCGGTTGGAACATCGTTCCATCTCTTCCGTTTTCAACATTCTAAACTCTAGTTTGTTACAACATCTGGAGCTTGTGTTTCAGAATCGCCCCGAGATGCTCCGGATCGAACCTCTGCGCAGTCTTCTCCGGGACAAGTGGGAAAGATTTGCTTCCAAGTTATTCCTGATGAGTTTTGTGATGTATTTGATCTACCTGGCCATCTTCACCACGGTGGCTTTCTACAGAAAAGAGGGAGAGGTCAGACAGGAAGCTGAGTCGTTAGCATCGGGATGAGATGGAGCAAAGACCGTGTTGTTGTTTTACCCACAGCCACCGTTCCCAGTGGAAAACACCCCAGCTGACTGTCTCCGTTGTGTCGGTGAGATCATCAGCGTCCTTGGAGCAGTGAGGTTTCTGTATAAAGCGGTAAGACGATGAAACAAAATCTAAGTAATGACACAACAAAGGACTCAAAATTGATTATTTTAACCTTTAATCAAAGCACTTCTGACCTTTGTAGCCTTATATATGAAACAACAATAACTGCATTTTCTGGGTATTATACTATTCATTATAGCGATATTATTGTTTCTTCTAATTCTTTAACGGTGGGGCTAAAACGTTGTTTTGCAGCCACCAATTGTGCAAGTTGTCCGGCATAAAAAATTGAAAGTTTGTTTTCACCTCAGCTGTTAGAGACAGGATGTAAAAAAGAAATCCAGGAAATCACATCGTATGATTTTTTTTTTGTACAAGGGTGCAGAAAATAAATATTTAGGACCAACAAACAAAACAAGACCTCTGACTCTTAAGCCCTTTTCAGACTGACATTCTGGAACATTTGTGGACAATTCAATCCAGTTTTTAACCGGAACTGTGTTTTCAGATACACCACTTTTGTACCGGAACTTGTCCTTTCGGCTGCGTTCACACAGCAGGGAAAAGTTCCAGATGTCTGATGGCGGCGGGGGGTGGGGTGGGGAGAGAGGGAATCGGACTTATGTTAAGAAGAAGAAGAAGAAAATATCATTTCTATAGCGCCTCTCAAGATAAAAATCACGAGGCGCTTAAGCATAATTCTGCGCACACGAAGACGCATAAGAGACCTGGATGATGAAGCTCAATGGTTAAAGGAATCACTCAGGGCTGGACTGGGACAAAAATTCAGCCCGGGCATTTTGACTGGAGACCGGCCCATCACCTGTTTTTTTTGGAAAAGACATTAAGCCTTACGCTGTTTCTGACACACACCAACGTACACTTTCTTATTGGTAGTATTTATGTATCAATCTAATAAACGTAAACCTACACCATCCTTCCTATCCTGGTATTCTAAAAAGTAGGGTTGGGGGTAACTGATTATTTTTAAAATGATTATTCCGACGATTATTTTATCGAATAGTCGACTATTCTAATGACTATTTAGATGATTAATCTAGTGATTACTTTTCTATTGCACAATTAATAAAAACCAAAAAATTCTCAAATAAATTGCTCCAAAAAATTGATGAGTTGTTACGGTAAGAGAATAAACACTACAGGCCTTCCATTTTGTATAACACTGCTTTTATTGTGTTGCGGTTGTTTATGTTCTGGTGACGTGTAGAACTTGGGAGTGCAGGCCGCTGCCTGAGAGGTGGTTGGAGACGGAGTGTCTCCATGCTGCTTTGTTTTGTTCACTTATGTGCGTGAGGCAAGTGGTGTTACGACCCTTCCTGGGGAGTCACGTGTTTCTCCTATTTTAACTGTAAATCCTTCTAGCTGTTATATTTATAACAAGAAACAGATATTCGGACAGAATATTTTCACGTTTATTCGAATATGATTGTGGAACACACCCAGCATCATAATAAATGAAGTAATATTTATGCCAATTTAAGCCTTTATGGGTGACCAGGACTCTCTGTTTATGAATGTGGAAGACACCCAGCATCCTGTGATGGCACTAATAACATCAATAGATAATAAATAAGGTAATATTTAGGTCAATTTAACCCTTTACACGTGACCAGGACACTGTAATCAATTTTTGGCAAGGGAAATGATCATTTGTTGCCATTTTTGAGGTGTTTATGAATGTGAAAGACACCCGGCATCCTGTGATGGCACCAATAACATCAAGAAATAATAAATAAAGTAATATTTAGGTAAATGTAACCCTTTACAGGTGACCAGGACACTGTAATCAATTTTTGGCAAGGGAAATTATCTTCTTTTTTTTTTTTTTTTTTTTTTTTGCCATTTTTGGGGTGTTTTTGATGACACAGTAGGCAGTATGAGTACAGTAACGTCAACAGATAATACATAAAACCCTTATTTGGTCAATTTTAGCCTCCATGAAAATCTTAGTGATTCAATCACTTTTTGGCAAGTAAAATGCCATTTTATTTGTCTACGATTAAATCATCAATAAAGAATTTAAAGATATTTTGAGGCATTTCTTATAGGTAAACGGGAGGGTGTAGTCTATTTGGCAAGTGACAATCTTAATTTTATGTGCTGAAGTGCTTTTATCTTGTTACTTTTAAATAGAGCAACGTAATGAATAGCAACCTACACAGTGTCATTGTAAAGCCAAAGCTTGATCATTTTAAATACTTTTTTTCAAGTAAAAATGTGCCCCAAACTAGTTAACTGTGGCTCCATGTCAAGTGGACTAAAGAAAGGAAGGGGAAAAAATTAAATCGCTGGAGAATTGTTTATTTCCATTTATACAACGTTTACATTCAATACAGGGTGCCATTTTACATTGTTTATTTATTTTTTTAGTATCAAGGCTGTAACATAAAGAAAGCCAGTTCTTACCACAAAGTTTGTGGCACAAACCATCTTTCAATCGCAAATATTGCAAAAAGGATTAATATATCCTCATTGTGAACGTTTAAGACAAATAGCAACACTTAAAACAACTTCCGAACTGGAAAAACTAATGTGGCAAGGTGCAGAAAGGAATGCCCGGGCGGGATTCGAGCCCCAGACTCCCGGGTGAGAGTCATACGCTCTAACCAGTCAGCCAAAGGGACATCTACTTGGCCAAGTAGACAGGGCGCATCATCAATCGGGATATTGTGACAGGACGCTCACATAGCCACATCTTCCTCCCTCTTTCCACAAGCACGTCCTCGTGCTCCCGCGCAGGCTGCCACAAACACTGCCACACTAATATCCGCGATAAACATCTGTTTAAGTACCGGAAGAGGTTATCTTTGCTTTCTGAATGTCCATATTGCTAGATATGCCGAGTTTTAGGGCGAAATCCTGGGGAATTTTGTCTAGAAATGCAATTACCTAACCGTGCGCGATCCCGCGGTGGCTAATCATTTTTTGGCAGCGAGTCAATTTATGGCACAACACCGGCTCGGGTTTCTCCTCCTCCTCCCTCTTTTCTTCTCCACCTGTCGCTGGGCTGAGGCTCCATCACTTCCTAAATTGATTTTACTTGAACCTTCACTACCAAACAACTGAGATTTTAACACATGTGCCAGCATCAGCCTGAAGGGCCAGTTTCTTTGTTAGTCGAATTTTCTCCGCTCCTGCTTTCCGTTTTTTGTTCTCCATTTTGTTAAGCTCGTCTGTCTGTTTACTGAGATTCACAAACAACTGGCGGGTGCATCAGACCTCTGGCTATTGGTCCAGCCCAGAGTGTATTATTACCAATTGGCCAATCCACCAACTTTTACGAGGCGTCGCGTGGGGCGGCGCGGACAAGTTGTCCGCAACAACTAGAGGCCAGAGGAAAAAAAAAAAAAAAAAAAAAAAACAGACACCGGCCCATAAAAGATGAAAGGGTCGGCCCAGCGGGCAGTTGCCCGCTATGCCCTATGGTCAGTCCAGCACTGGAATCACTGAAGCGGTGTGAAGCGCTCCGTCGCGCGTCTAGACGGTACCGTAGGAGGCGAGCTGCCGTGGTTCGCCGCATGCTACAGCAGCGGGCTATCTAGGTGCACACAGCGTCCCCCGGTCCCCTCCTCCTCTCCCTCCCTCTTGTCCGGAACTTTACCTCACTAGTCTGAAGCAGCCACCCTGTCCGTAACAAGTCCGGACCTGTTACTAGGGGCTTCGTCCGGATAAATTCCGGAACACGTTATCCGGATGTTTGTATTCACACAGAAAGGTCTTACGGACAGATTCCGGAACATTTCCGTTTTTCATGGCCTGTCTGAAGGGGGCTTTACAGTCCAGTCACTACTTACTTCTTTAAGAAGCTCTTCTATCCTCCACTCGTTACCTGTATTCATGGCACCTGTTATCTGTATAACGGGCCATTCCCATCTGTACCTGGTCGGCCCTGCCCGGATAGCTCCAGTCGGCCCCAGCCTGGTCCGGTTGATTCCACACATTCTTGCTTAGGTATGCAAGGAATGCAGTCAGAGACATTTTCAGCTTCTAAGTAATCAGCAGGATAATGAATTGAGCATGCCTTAAGCCCATGTGGGCTGATTCTACCCACCAATCAGAGGCTTGCTCTAATGGAAGGTGTGAATTTGCTGTCAGCAGTGGGTGTGTTGGCCCTGGTCAGCCTGAAGCAGACCACCTCAGAAAGAGGGCTGAAAAACAGTCTCGTTGCACCCTGAAAAAAGGCAGGCCACCAAGATAGGTAAGCAAGCTATGCTATCTGGGCCGGGCCGACCAGATACAGATGGGAACGGCCCATAAAAGACTCCTGTCCACACTTTCTAACAGTCAAACCCCCCCTTCCACCATGGAGACCAGAAAATGGAATAAATGCAATCTCCCTTTACCAGGGGCTTCATGCAAGAGCTCACCTTGTGGGGTACAACTGATCTTGAGAACAAAGATGAATCTACCCAAAACTACACGGGAGTAACTTTTCGATGACATGAAGAGAGCTGGGATCACAGAAAGAAAGGTTACTATTAGTAACGCACTACGTCGTCATGGATAAGTATCCTGCAGAACTCTAAAGGTTCCCCTTGCTTGAGTCAGTACAAATCCTGGTCCGTCTAAAGTTTGCCAGAGACCATCTCAATCCAGAGGATGACTGGGAAAATGTCATGGTCAGATGAGACCAAACAGAACTTTTTGGTATTGGTATTGGGCACCACTAGCCCATATTTGGATGAATGAAACGATTGCAGTTAGTGCAGAACTCGGCAGCTAGATTCCTGACAGACTTGAAAAAACAGCACGTTACTCCTGTCCTGGCTTCTCTACACTGGCTCC